TGACCAATGACAACAGGTTGTGACCAATGATCACAGTTCGTGACCAATGACCATATTCTGTGACTAATGACCATATTCCGTGACCAATGACCATATTCTGTGACTAATGACCATATTCCGTGACCAATGACCATATTCCGTGACCAATGACCACAGTTCGTGACCAATGACAACAGTTCGTGACCAATCACTATATTCCGTGACCAATGACAACAGTTCGTGACCAATGACAACAGGTCGTGACCAATGATCACAGTTCATGGCCAATGACCATATTCTGTGACTAATGACCATATTCCGTGACCAATGACCATATTCCGTGACCAATGACAACAGTTCGTGACCAATGACAACAGTTCGTGACCAATGATCACAGTTCGTGACCAATGACCATATTCCGTGACCAATGACAACAGTTCGTGACCAATGACAACAGTTCGTGACCAATGACAACAGTTCGTGACCAATGACCACAGTTCATGACCAATGACCATATTCTGTGACTAATGACCATATTCCTTGACCAATGCCCATATTCCTTGACCAATGACAACAGTTCGTGACCAATGACTGTATTTCGTGACCAAAGACCTTATTCCTTGACCAATGAGAACAGTTCGTGACCAATGACTGTATTTCGTGACCAAAGACCTTATTCCTTGACCAATGACAACAGTTCGTGACCAATGATCACAGTTCTTGACCAATGACCATAATCCGTGACCAATGACAACAGTTCATGACCAATTATCACAGTTCGTGACCAATGACCATATTATGTGACTAATGACCATATTCCGTGACCAATGACCATATTCCGTGACCAATGACCACAGTTCGTGACCAATGACAACAGTTCGTGACCAATCACCATATTCCGTGACCAATGACAACAGTTCGTGACCAATGACAACAGGTCGTGACCAATGATCACAGTTCGTGACCAATGACCATATTCTGTGACTAATGACCATATTCCGTGACCAATGACCATATTCCGTGACCAATGACCACAGTTCGTGACCAATGACAACAGTTGGTGACCAATCACCATATTCCGTGACCAATGACAACAGTTCGTGACCAATGACAACAGGTTGTGACCAATGATCACAGTTCGTGACCAATGACCATATTCTGTGACTAATGACCATATTCCGTGACCAATGACCACAGTTCGTGACCATTGATCACAGTTCGTGACCAATGACCATATTCCGTGACCAATGACCATATTCCGTGACCAATGACCACAGTTCGTGACCAATGACAACAGTTCGTGACCAATCACTATATTCCGTGACCAATGACAACAGTTCGTGACAAATGACAACAGGTCGTGACCAATGATCACAGTTCGTGGCCAATGACCATATTCTGTGACTAATGACCATATTCCGTGACCAATGACCATATTCCGTGACCAATGACCACAGTTCGTGACCAATGACAACAGTTCGTGACCAATGACAACAGTTCGTGACCAATGACAACAGGTCGTGACCAATGATCACAGTTCGTGGCCAATGACCATATTCTGTGACTAATGACCATATTCCGTGACCAATGACCATATTCCGTGACCAATGATCACAGTTGGTGACCAATCACCATATTCCGTGACCAATGACAACAGTTCGTGACCAATGACAACAGGTCGAGACCAATGACCACAGTTCGTGACCAATGACCATATTCTGTGACTAATGACCATATTCCGTGACCAATGACCATATTCCGTGACCAATGACAACAGGTCGTGACCAATGATCACAGTTCGTGACCAATGACCATATTCTGTGACTAATGACCATATTCCGTGACCAATGACCATATTCTGTGACTAATGACCATATTCCGTGACCAATGACCATATTCCGTGACCAATGACCACAGTTCGTGACCAATGACAACAGTTCGTGACCAATCACTATATTCCGTGACCAATGACAACAGTTCGTGACAAATGACAACAGGTCGTGACCAATGATCACAGTTCGTGGCCAATGACCATATTCTGTGACCAATGACCATATTCCGTGACCTATGACCACAGTTGGTGACCAATGACAACAGTTCGTGACCAATGACAACAGTTCGTGACCAATGACAACAGGTCGTGACCAATGATCACAGTTCGTGGCCAATGACCATATTCTGTGACTAATGACTATATTCCGTGACCAATGACCATATTCCGTGACCAATGATCACAGTTGGTGACCAATCACCATATTCCGTGACCAATGACAACAGTTCGTGACCAATGACAACAGGTCGAGACCAATGACCACAGTTCGTGACCAATGACCATATTCTATGACTAATGACCATATTCCGTGACCAATGACCATATTCCGTGACCAATGACAACAGTTCGTGACCAATCACCATTTTCCGTGACCCTATTTATTATGAATGTGACCTATTTACAAACGTTGATATAGATGTGTAACACTATGTTTCTTTAAGACATGTCTTATTTTCGATTTTTTCGGATATTCTACATGACATTTAGGTCAGACAAAAAACAATCACAAGATGGTTAAAAATGCTGTGTGGTTAATTACACTACACTTTTGTTAACACAAAAAACTGTGGGCTTCGCACCATTTGTACCCTTAATCCTTGTAACACATTTGATAGTATGGACAACCTTTGAAGTATTACTAGGATTTAGCAACATACAAAAACATAACGAATTACCTCACATTCACAGTAATCACGATCATCGCACAAACCCAATCGAACAAAAAAGTACTCGACATCACAATGATTCATCCTAGGTAGAGTAATCTTTCTTTAATACCACCCTCACCCCAAACTCACACAGACGTATCCTTTTAGCTACATTTAGGTATGTCTTTTATAAACATAAGTATATGATCTTAGCTCGTAGGAATGAGATTATCGATAAATTTAAGCGATATAGTGTACAAAACATACAACGTCACAAAGTAGTGTTTTCGAGAATGTATTTGTTAATATGTCTTGAAAAGTATAATGAAAATTTAGAAAGTGAAATAAAACAAAAACTTGAATATGTTGAAAATCTTTCCGAAAACAAAAAAGCAAATATTATCCCAATGTATCTTTCGAACTGAAGTGATCAGTTCGTACAACAGTCCATTCTCTATCACGAGTTGTCGTTCCTTGCACGTAATGAGTACAGCAGAGTTGAAAACGGAGGTAAGCCGTGCTCTTGTCTTCATAACAAAATACCTTATTAAATTTCGTGGTGAGTACGAAATGGCTTCACCAGTGAATATCACCTTTTCATAATTTAGAGTGAGATACAGTATAGCCAAATAATTTATTAAACTGTATCATACAGCTGTTTGTCATTCTAGGACTCGTCAGTGATGCTACATCATACAGCTGTTTGTCATTCTAGGACTCGTCAGTGATGCTACATCATACAGCTGTTTGTCATTCTAGGACTCGTCAGTGATGCTACATCATACAGCTGTTTGTCATTCTAGGACTCGTCAGTGATGCTACATCATACAGCTGTTTCGTCCTTCTAGGACTTGTAAGTGATACTACATCAAACAGCTGTTTCGTCCTTCTAGGACTTGTAAGTGATGCTACATCATACAGCTGTTTCGTTCTTCTAGGACTCGTCAGTGATGCTACATCATACAGCTGTTTGTCATTCTAGGACTCGTCAGTGATGCTACATCATACAGCTGTTTGTCATTCTAGGACTCGTCAGTGATGCTACATCATACAGCTGTTTGTCATTCTAGGACTCGTCAGTGATGCTACATCATACAGCTGTTTGTCATTCTAGGACTCGTCAGTGATGCTACATCATACAGCTGTTTGTCATTCTAGGACTCGTCAGTGATGCTACATCATACAGCTGTTTCGTCCTTCTAGGACTTGTAAGTGATACTACATCAAACAGCTGTTTCGTCCTTCTAGGACTTGTAAGTGATGCTACATCATACAGCTGTTTGTCATTCTAGGACTCGTCAGTGATGCTACATCATACAGCTGTTTTGTCCTTCTAGGACTCGTCAGTGATGCTACATCATACAGCTGTTTGTCATTCTAGGACTCGTCAGTGATGCTACATCATACAGCTGTTTGTCATTCTAGGACTCGTCAGTGATGCTACATCATACAGCTGTTTGTCCTTCTAGGACTCGTCAGTGATGCTACATATACAGCTGTTTCGTCCTTCTAGGACTTGTAAGTGATGCTACATCATACAGCTGTTTCGTTCTTCTAGGACTCGTCAGTGATGCTACATCATACAGCTGTTTCGTTCTTCTAGGGCTCATCAGTGATGGTACATCATACAGCTGTTTCGTTCTTCTAGGACTTGTAAGTGATACTACATCATACAGCTGTTTCGTCCTTCTAGGACTCGTCAGTGATGCTACATCATACAGCTGTTTCGTCCTTCTAGGACTTGTAAGTGATGCTACAGCATACAGCTGTTTCGTCCTTCTAGGACTCGTCAGTGATACTAAGGGCTTTATATTTTGAAGCCTAGAAGGCGACTAGGAAAAATCCAAAGTGATCAAAAGAAAAGTCAAACTCTAGACGGAGAGGTGCAGCAGCCCCATAATTAGATAATTTCGTAAATTCCCTACATCAGATAATTTTAGAATAGCATCAAGTACATGTGTATTTTCTGAACCGTGCCACTATCCGAGTGAATTTAAACGTGGTAAGTAATTTACGACAAACCTCGGGAACTTAAAGTCCACCAGCAGTGTCTACCACCTGCTATCCTTGAGATTGTACAAAAGATGGACAAGCGAGGAAATAACATCCCCACACGTCAGTGATATAAGAAGCAACTTGATTAGATAGAATAGGCAGAAAGCGGGATACCAACTACACCAGCGAACACAATTACCAGCGATAAAAAAAAATTGTTAGTAAATATATTTTATAAATCGACTTATATAATTGTATATGGCTCAAAAAGATAAATACATCAGTATGTTTATGATACTAACAAATAACACTTTAAAAGCCGCCGGTATGATTCACCTATGATTTTATAGTATAAGAACTGTGATGCCTTTTTTTTTAAATGCATCCGTCTCATTTACAATATATTCATCAAGACATTCCATTAAGTGCATTTAAACGTGGAATATTGTGAGATATTTCAAATTAATTTCATGTTGTTTAAAACAACTGCAGGAATCACACTTGTCCTCTTACTTGTCCTTCGAATACAGTTTTAAATGTTGAAGATTTCGTTGAATGTTGTTTCTAACTGCTTATGTGATGTCGTAACTTCGATAAAAGGGAGATAACACTGTCTGCTTACAGAAAATATTTGTCCTTTCTACAACTTTGAGTTGTAATGCTTTTAAGAGTTGTCGTACATGGGTCCAAATCCGGAAAAAGAAGAGAAAATCCTTACTGAAATATGTGTTTGTAACATTTTTTTTTATAATATTCATAATTTTATTGTCAAAAAAATTTCTAGATACTATGAACGAATATATTTTCTTGAAACTCTAATTTCATGGTGTTTCAAAATATCACTTTTTTACTTGGCAATTAATTTCGTGGAGAATGCACTTAATGATTTTAAACGATATCATATTTGTAAACGTTTATTAATTATTAAATTCATTCATGAGTTAAAAGGACAACAAAAATGGTAGTGAAATGAAGCCCCTTTGAAAACAATAATTATGCAGTATATGTATAAACAATTTTTACATCTTAATCTTAATATTTCGGGCACACACCGACGTCCTGTATTAGACACTTCGATCGGGCGTTAACACCTCTAAATCTCCTGATCGGGCGTCTTTTTTATGGATATTCCAGTTTGTTCCAATATAAAGATCAGCCAGGCGCCAATTACTGAGAAAAGTAAGTCTTATTTTTCGTTTGAAACCAAATCACATTACAATATACATATGAAAAAAATTGTTTCAGAATATATCAGTAATTAAAGTATTTCAACTGGTCATATACTGAAGCATTCTGTATATACATACAATTTTTTTAAAAATAAATACACATATATTTTTCACATAATCACATTTCAGAATGCCATGCTATAGGCTATCAATGCGGTCACAGCTAAAACGCAACGAAGAATAAACAGCGCCCACATTTCACCGGAAATTAGTATCCACGACCGCTGCATCGCCTTTGATTGTTACGAGGCCACTATTGCAGGACTAAATCACATGATTAAAGCACTTTTCAACACTTGGAAGACAAATAGTCATGTCTTATTTCCATATCAACACTTTTGAAGGAGATGCACAGCCATAAGAATGGCTGAAATTCCATATAGTATTCCACCGACCACAGCCAAAGCATACGACCATGACAGCGGAAGTGACGTTTTACATCCGTAAATGATAACACCAAGTATTGCACAGCAAGCTGGAACAAAGAAAAACAATATTATGATGTGTTAAGAAAACCAATAGCCGATAGGTATTAGTAGTAATTCTTAATATTTTATGAAAATCAGATAATTTTAGACGTCTACATATGTTTTCCTTTTTTGAGGAAATATTTAATTGAAAGACTGCATAGATTTACATTTAATGTATTCATTGCTGATATATTTGATGTCTTGAACTGTTGGCCATTTATAAACGAGTCGGTTTGAAACCGTATGTCAGACGATCATTAAAAATCAATAAAACGACATGGTTGTATACAGATTTTTGTAAATCCGTATTGCCATTTCATATACCTGATAGAAAATGGAGCATGATATCCGATGTATATTTTGACCACATGTCGCGAATATCAATATACCAGTTTTCTGTGATTTGTAAATTAAAAATTCTTCAACATGGTTACGTCCCCTGACCTACAAACTTGATACTAATATGAATTGAAAATTGTTATAAGGACATGTAATGCTTCAAAACCGCTCACGTAAAAAGAAATGCTTAATAAACGAGCTTTATTAATGTTTTATAACCAAAACATAACAAAATCATGAATCTCAAATTCAAACAATATTTTGTGATACTTGAACCGGACTCAAATCAATAAATGCTGGATGTACGTTTTTAGAATGTTGACGAATTTATTCAACTGTCATACATTGTTAATGCCCGGTCAGCCATTTTTCAGCAGATCCTTTTATCTATAAAAATCATTGTATCTCTATATTGATTCCTTCCAGCATCTTATTTGTTACCTGCAAACGCCACGCCGACGAGACTGGCGATGTATAAGGAGATGTTGTAAGGCGATTGGTTGATGAAAATATAAAAGATGAGCAGGAGAAGGCCAATGAATCCGGCTACTAACGCCAGGGACTCAAACGCCTGGGTCGCTTCAAAGTAACCTGTAACATTTAAATATTATATGTGATTCATCCAGTTAGAATCGATAATTAAAAAGCCTGGGTCATTTCAAAGTAACCTGTAACATTTAGATAATATACATAGTACCTATAATTATATCTTTGGAGCAGAAATTCTGGATCATAAAAAAAACAACTGAAATTCACAAATACAACTGAACTTTTTAATCCTAATCAGGGAATTTGAAGTAACTGTGCCGAGAGGAAACCTCTATAACTGTTTAACAGAAAGTCGTATCATCCCTGCTACTTCTGTTAGAGACTTGACCACTCCTGTTCGTGTGGTAGTCCCTGGGAGGATGCTGACCACTTCTTGCTGCACTCTCCGAACTTTGACCCCCTGAGGAACCTCATGCTTTAACAAAATCCAAGTAGTTGATATGCATCTTGCCCCCAGTCTTAACTTACTACTATATGGCTCTCCCGATATTGACAATTTAAAAAATATAGGAATATGCAACGCTGTGCAGCAATATGTTGAGCGATCTGAGAGATTCGGGTAAATTTCATACAAGTGGGAAACATTGTACTATATGTTAATCATTCACTTTGATTTGTATATTTATATGCCATCACGTGGTGTTTTCTTAGTGTACATTTATTTATAAGGAGAAGACCTCGTAAGTTGAAATAACTTGTGTCTAATCCTTTTGCTCGTACATTTGGCAATAAAATATGTATAAAACTAGAAGAGACCCGAGTGCCTTAGTCCTCTAAAAATGATTGTTAAATGTGATTTATTCATACGACACCTAGTACTGAAACAGATGACAAAGTTTCCGAACTATACCAGTTTTAAACACCTGGCTATGATATTCTGTCATCAAAAACAAATTTAACCCGAATTTAATCTGACATGTTTTTGAGTCAAACTCTCTGGTATTTCATCTCACGGTAACCAATAAACAGCCCAGTACTAAATTCATTTAGTAATGTACTACTGATTAAGATATTGTGTATATTGTTTTTTTAAGCTTTAAGGAGTTTTTATCCTGGGAGATAACAAATACTGTAACAGTCTTCACCACCTTACATATCTGTGTGCCGGTGGTCCCGCAAACACAGCCTTTCTAATGACGTAACATTGACCAGACTTGCTAACTGCGTTAGTGATTAATTGGGCGTGTGTCAAATACCAGATGTTTATCAAATGTTTCAGCCTTTATAACAGGGAAAATCACACATAGCTATTTCGTGAATGCTGATATTTATAACCCATTCATAACCACTTTTCTATGCACGTGATGACATGCTGCAGCAAGACTGATACATACCCTGGACAACGGAAAGATAGAAAAGGTTATAGCAACATCAAAAATCGAGTCCAGATCAAGAAAATACTTGCATGTCAACAAAAATTGTACTTCACACTCAAAATCGATGAAACTAGTGGTAAAGTATGAACAAACGAAACATTTACATACAGACGTTTGAAAAGTACATATAAAATCAAGGTCAAATACACATGCACAGAAAAAGGCCATAAAACAAGACTTTTGTCTATGATAAGTAAAAAGTTACCCCAAAATACAGAATAAAACACCATCTTTTTCATATTCAATACGTCAAGTGTCCTAAAGAAGAACACGAATTCTAAATACACATGAAACAGGTTTTTCTAATTATGATAATATTTAGAAAGAGACAATCAAGGCTTATACTTCCAAATTATGAATTTTTGAAGAATCCTCTAGCTCATTCCCTTACAAAGCTTTTGTCCTTATATAAAGACATTATAACTCCCACACGATATAGCGTTGGTAAGTTTTACAGTAGTTGTAATTCTTAAAAGCAATCGATGTCCAGATATGCAAAATGTATTTTCATAGTATGTCTTATCACGGTGGCACGGAATATTTAGTCTCATATCAAGCTGAAAGGGAAAAAATTCAACTACTTTCATAACATGAAAAAATATGGAGGTTTGCCATAACCTATATAAATACGTCATATGTTGCCTGGAACTAATGCGCACGTTTATCACATGCTAAATAAAACAGACCCTGAAGCAGACAAGTATGCATGCCAAGTGTGTATATATGTGTTTAAATACGTAAATAAAAACAGAACAACGTTGTAAACATTTCAGTTTTAACGGCCCCGTTAGCTTTAACTAAATATTCATTTAAACGTCTCTCTCACAAAGGATGACTGACAATATACTATGACCCATATTACTCTTGTTAGTGGTTTCATACAGAGACTTTGTCAGCAACCCCAAAAAAGCTGACGGATTTTGTGTTGTGCTTCGTTATGTCGATTTCTACTTTGTTTCCAGTTTATTTAGTCGATATCTTCCTGGCCAGGCACCGGCTACTTAGCTTGTTTTTCTTCGTGCTATCCACATTTTTATTTGGTAACACACAATAAAACTGGTCACATGTTGGTAACAATAAAACTGGTCACATTTTGGTAACAATAAATAAAACTGGTCACATTTTGATAACAATTAATAAAACTGGTCACATTTTGGTAACAATTAATAAAACTGGTCACATGTTGGTAACAATAAATAAAACTGGTCACATTTTGGTAACAATAAATAAAACTGGTCACATTTTGGTAACAATAAATAAAACTGGTCACATTTTGGTAACAATAAATAAAACTGGTCACATTTTGATAACAATTAATAAAACTGGTCACATTTTGGTAACACACAATAAAACTGGTCACATTTTGGTAACAATAAATAAAACTGGTCACATGTTGGTTACAATAAAACTGGTCACATTTTGGTAACAATTAATAAAACTGGTCACATGTTGGTTACAATAAAACTGGTCACATTTTGGTAACACACAATAAAACTGGTCACATTTTGGTAACAATTAATAAAACTGGTCACATGTTGGTTACAATAAAACTGGTCACATTTTGGTAACACACAATAAAACTGGTCAGATTTTGGTAACACACAATAAAACTGGTCACATTTTGGTAACAATTAATTAAACTGGTCACATTTTCGTTACAATCAATACAACTGGTCACATTTTGGTAACACTCGATAAAATTCAACGTTCTAAGAGTTCTCCAAAGAATGTATGAACGAATTAAGTATAAAAGATAGATTTGCTTTAAACATTAGAGTCTCTATCCCTGAAATGACATTGTTTTCATATTGTTGAAATACGTAACGGAAAAATGGAGGAGAAAATAACGCAATTCGTGTTTTGATATTTAACATAGAAAATGTTCAAAGACTAAAACCAGAAAATTTGTTTTCTTTTTAGACAAAATTGAGTATAATTAGCATGTCTAATAATACAAGTATTCAAACTCAATAGTTTTAACTAATGCATTTATCATACTCACAGGAGATTTCATGACAAGATGAATAACATGGTATGAACTGTTTCTTTCTTATTGACATTACGTCAATTCACATGCAATACATAAGTAAACACTAAGGAACAGACACATATAACCACAATCATCCAACTCCCTGCAGGGGTACTTTTTTTATATCAAAACAAATTTCTTTTTTAATATGCGGCATCTTGCCAGTCTGACGTCAAGATTAATCAGGCACCTGCTATCTGAAAAATTCTGATCCGTTTGTGATATATTGGCCTACTTTATCGTTCTGCATAGGTCATAGGTCATAGGTCAAGTAACCTCAAATGTGTACGTACTGCTTATTCAAGTGCAACTGGAATGTTAGTCGGTTTTAGAGCAGGTATTAAAGAGTTCAATAAGCATTATCATTCAAATCTCTTTTATCTGAGGATGAAATTCATGTACGCAAAAAATTTCATCCTCAGACCGAAAAGATTTGAATGAGCGTTCTTTATTCTCTCTCAATAAACGCATGTCCATGTCTTTAATCTACCCTGAATTATATATATATACTGTTAATATATATTTTAAAATTGTTTTATGGTATATCTGAGCGATCCAGTCCCCCTGTCTCCCTCTTCTACCCCTATAGACAATACACTATGAGTATCACTGGGTTTTTTCTTCTCTCATATTAGGTTAGCTTTTGTCCTTAATTTCGATTGCGTTTTCTCTAACTGGAGATGTATTTATGCAAGTTGTAAAACTTGTTTCCATATCTAATTTTAATTACGTGTGTGATGTTACTGCCGATGCTACGTGACGAGAAATGAAATATAATCTTATAATAATTTATCATTTAATTTATTTGAAATGTCATTAAAACGGATCGATACTTTGGGGGTAAAACGTTTCCAAACACTGAACTGGCATCTTGATATACAGAAACTTTTCAAAAGAGCCTACTCATTTTAATACAAGTTGACTGCTACATCAAATAACAGGAACATAACAATATTAGAACACTGAGATAGACAAAACACAGCAGGTGGTAGTAGACATGACGGTACTGACTGGGCTAAAAGAGAGTTTGAAGTGTTATCTTTAAGAGGTTTTGGTGTTCGTAAGTAGAGGACGAGATACAGTGTACAGCCGTCAAGTATTTGTCTTTATATTTGTGGTTTCGAGTTAGTAATTAATTCCAAATTGCCTGAAAAATCTAATTTGTGATTTTTTTCCGATAGATATCAGTTTTTTCCAGTATTCGCCGTGGAAAGGAGATTTTGTTTCTTTCCTTGTCATATATTAAATGATTCCTGTAAAGTGAAAGGAAAATCGAGTGAATCCTGAGATTCTCATGAAGAGATTTGGACAAAATTTAGACAACTGTCATCTTTTGGTTTATCCAGGTTTGTTGAATGATCAAAAAACAAAATTATTCTGAGCTCTCCTGTTAAGTGAGTGAGAATCGGTATTTTGCACGTGCGGGTATACTGATATACATGTAATTAACCGTTGTTTTCTCGGGCACTCCTACGGTATCTACATGTACAGACATAATGACCTTCCCTAGTTTTCTTCATGTAGAATAGCAGTTGTATAGCACCAGATACAATGTAGCAAAAACGCAACATGTCCAAAATTTGTTTATTTACATATTCAATCGGCCGTAATAAACAACAGAGCTCGTTGTCATTTAACTAATATTAATGAATTTAATATGCATACACACAAATACCACTTACGATGAGGAATGGTAATTCCGTAACACATAACACCTAATTCATTGGGTACATATCTTCCCATAAACTCGATTTTCTTTAATAGTTTGTAAATACAGCTTTATTTATGTAAGAAACTACATGATTATTTCTAGAAAAGGTTTTTTTTATTAATATCTGCTTGTTTCCAAATTTTAGGGATTTTTTTTAAATCCTGCTGACTGCCTTTTTGTGTGAAAGTAATTTTCAAGTAATTAGTTTATCATCGGACAATATCAATTCCGTACAAAGTAACTATATATTAGAGCTTATTCATAAATTCCAGACAGGGGAGAATTTCTAAATCATAGTCACAAAATATAGTTGTGACATTTTGTAAATCGGTAGAAGGATTAAATCTTATTAGAGTGGGATGTTTCTAGCGTAGTCAGCGTGATGAAGACACTTGTTGGAAAGTTTATATCTTTGCACTGACTTCAACCACTAACAAACATTACAGCGTCTAGAACGTAGGTATGGCGAACTAAAAATAAAATTACACACCCTTTATAACTGAGCGCATAACGGGCAACCCGTCCTTCAATAAAATCAACATGTTATGGTGCTGCTGGCGAGACAGTATACACACCGGCTTCAGCTGGAAGCCAAGAAACCAAAAATGATGTTACATATATCATTTGTTATATATATACATAAACTTATCAAATTCAACAACACGATATCAACATTTGGTAAAACACGGTACAAATTACGTACATTATGACTTACATATATACAACATGTTGAGAACTTAATGCCTACAGCACATGGTATCTATTTGTTTTCAGAAAAAATATTTAGTCTAAACATACTTACTTGTAGTGTAAGTGGTCTTGGTACACTCGTAACCACGGTAACAGGCCTTCCAAAGTCCCACAGTTACGAACTTACTGTGAGACCAATAAGAAGTCGCAAACCCTATCAGATGAAACCAAAATCCAGCCGTCAAACACAAAAAGAAAACTTTCACGAGGATAGGGGCTGCCTTAAGCCCCGCCATATCGTATTCGGCTATTTTTTGTTTTAACAAAAATATCCCATCCTTCTTATGTTTTGTTTACAGCAATTTCCTGTCAGGCTGGCGATGGCTTCCGTTTCAATTTATTTGAGAAGATACGATATCTTCTGTGTTCACTTTCATCAACAAGGAGCTAGCACGTGCCTGTGGTATAAAATGGTTGCCCACATGTCGTTTTAGTGTGGGGGCGCTAGAAAGTATATGTTATGGTTTGCCATCAACACACGACTGGCTATGTCGAATTTCCCTTTCTATATTTAGTAACACGACCCCTAAAACTGTTTCTCTCTCCCAGCAGCCGCAGCTTCACTAGGCTATGGGCAGAGTGTAAACTATGGTCGACCAGTCAGCAGTATTTTGTTGTGCTGAAGTATGTCACGCGCTCTTCGTCAGTATTTTGTTGTGCTGAAGTATGTCACGCGCTCTTCGTCAGTATTTTGTTGTGCTGAAGTATGTCACGCGCTCTTCGTCAGTATTTTGTTGTGCTGAAGTATGTCACGCGCTCTTCGTCAGTATTTTGTTGTACTGTAGTATGTCACGCGCTCTTCGTCTATCACTGATCATCCATTTAATGAAAACTGATGAAAGTGTAGTTAATAAAATCAGTGGATAAATTTGATGGCTCATAAAGTGATCGAGAGATATTTCAAGGTCATATATAATGTACAAATCTATATCAAATTAAGAGGGGAAAATATGAAGAGAACAGGATCAAGTGTTCCGGAAGGGAAAGCGTGATGGAACATTTGCCATGACCAAATGTATATAACTAAGAGAACATGGAAAGAGGTATACAGTATGTCATATGTATTTTCCTCAGTGAGAAATGAACAACAACAAAAAACGTTTGTTTATTTTCTAAATTCTTCTCTTTCATCTTTTGTTTTCTTACTTGGGAAGGAAGATTTTTAAAATTTATCTATGAAATTTAATTTCGCAAACTTTAATTAATAATTATGATATGTAGTTGTGTCGATTTATTTCTTTGTATATGAATGCTAGACATCATGTTATCAGCCTGGTTTGCTACTTAATGTTTAAATCTAATAAGATATGTCAGGTTTTGAACAGAGCCCCACGTTTTGTATTAACCTATGAAAATTACAAGAAAAAAAACATATAAGTGAATTTAAAACGCGATTTAAAAGTATCAAAATAATGATTAACATGAAATAAGCCTTGGCTGTTAATTACAGTTACGTCGGATGTACAGAAGTGTATATATTACAGCAAGATCGTGAAATCAGGAATATTCAGTGAAATAAGCCTTGGCTATTAATTACAGTTACGTCGGATGTACAGAAGTGTATATATTACAGCAAGATCGTGAAATCAGGAATATTCAGTGAAATAAGCCTTGGCTGTTAATTACAGTTACGTCGGATGTACAGAAGTGTATATGTATATTACAGCAAGATTGTGAAATCAGGAATATTCAGTGAAAGGGTCCAGTAAAATTGAGTAATACAACACTTCTTTTTTCAGTAATGACAGGAAACCCCTAAAGATTTTAGTGATTTCGTGCAATTACTAAGTGAATTACGGATTTCACGAATTCACTGAACGTTTTAGTGACCTCACGAAATCCCTGATTTCACTATCTTACTGTAACATATATATACCACTGTTTAGTGAAGGCCTATCGGTAGCGAGATGATGCAGATTACACATGTTTATTACAACACGTAGACTAAGCGTCAAGGTTCATTCAAGATATGCATCGTCTGGTGAGGTCAAAGGTCACAGGTCACGATCAGGGTTAACCCACACTCGCCAGTGGCAATGATATACTTGTGACAGTACTTTTTCGAGTCATCCTTTTTGTGACACTCATTTATTATCATTACATACAAAATTCTGTGTATATTTACTGGTGATGGTAAGGTTGGATGTGTAATGTATGTATCAGAATGTGAAAAGATACATGAAGCTAACATTTGCAATTAGGTTCATCCTTAATTGGTAGGCGATCAAGAGATATTTAGCAATACTTTGAATTTTTCTTTCAGTTTTGATGTCAACATTCAGAGCAGGTTTTTTAAAAATACCTTCATTTCGTCCTAGAAACTGATCGATATCTACATGTAAAGTTTGTTGATGACATCACAAACCCAAAACACAGACCAAATGAGACCGCGTCGGTCATTCCTATGAAAAGTATATGCTTTTGATGTTCAAAAAATCATCATAACGCCATTTAACAGCTAGAACAGATACATTTTTTCCTAGGCCTTCCAGAGAACTCTCATTTCTTATTTCTGTTTGCATGACTTCTGAATTGTTCTTTGTATTTAGATGTTGAGGGTAGTTTTAGAATTGGTCATAAGTTTGCGAGTCATCGAAATATGTAAAATGGTCTACCTTATATACAGGACTACTCTCCAGACGTACACGGTAACAAACGATATCTATCTCCAGACGTACACGGTAACACTGAACCGATATCTACCTTCAGACGTACATGGTAAAACTGAACCGATATCTTCCTTCAGACGTACATGGTAAAATTGAACCGATATCTACCTTCAGACGTACACGGAAACACTGAACCGATATCTACCTTCAGACGTACATGGTAACACTGAACCGATATCTACCTTCAGACGTACACGGAAACACTGAACCGATATTTACCTTCAGAAGTACATGGTAAAATGAACCGATATCTACCTTCAGACGTACACGAAAACAGTGAACCGATATCTACCTTTAGACGTACACGGTAACACTGAACCGATATCTACCTTCAGACGTACACGGTAACACTGAAACGATATCTATCTTCAGACGTACACGGTAACACTGAACCGATATCTATCTTCAGACGTAGATGGTAACACTGAAACGATATCTATCGTCAGACGTACACGGTAACACTTAACCGATATCTACCTTCAGACGTACACGGAAACACTGAACCGATATCTACCTTCAGACGTACATGGTAAAACAGAACCGATATCTACCTTCAGACGTACACGGAAACACTGAACCGATATCTACCTTCAGACGTACATGGTAAAACAGAACCGATATCTACCTTCAGACGTACACGGTAAAACTGAACCGATATCTACATTCAGACGTACATGGTAAAACTGAACCGATATCTACATTCAGACGTACATGGTAAAACTGAACCGATATCTACCTTCAGACGTACATGGTAAAACAGAACCGATATCTACCTTCAGACGTACACGGAAACACTGAACCGATATCTACCTTCAGACGTACACGGTAACACTGAACCGATATCTTCCTTCAGACGTACATGGTAACACTGAACCGATATCTACCTTCAGACGTACACGGTAACACTGAACCGATATCTACCTTCAGACGTACATGGTAAAACTGAACCGATATCTACCTTCAGACGTACATGGTAAAACTGAACCGATATCTACCTTCAGACGTACATGGTAACACTGAACCGATATCTACCTTCAGACGTACACGGTAACACTTAACCGATATCTACCTTCAGACGTACACGGTAACACTGAACTGATATTTACCTTCAGAAGTACATGGTAAAATGAACCGATATCTACCTTCAGACGTACACGAAAACAGTGAACCGATATCTACCTTTAGACGTACACGGTAACACTGAACCGATATCTACCTTCAGACGTACACGGTAACACTGAAACGATATCTATCTTCAGACGTACACGGTAACACTGAACCGATATCTATCTTCAGACGTACACGGAAACACTGAACCGATATTTACCTTCAGAAGTACATGGTAAAATGAACCGATATCTACCTTCAGACGTACACGAAAACAGTGAACCGATATCTACCTTAACACATTCACGGTAACACTGAACCGATATCAACCTTCAGACGTACACGGAAACACTGAACCGATATTTACCTTCAGAAGTACATGGTAAAATGAACCGATATCTACCTTCAGACGTACACGAAAACAGTGAACCGATATCTACCTTTAGACGTACACGGTAACACTGAACCGATATCTACCTTCAGACGTACACGGTAACACTGAAACGATATCTATCTTCAGACGTACACGGTAACACTGAACCGATATCTATCTTCAGACGTAGATGGTAACACTGAAACGATATCTATCTTCAGACGTACACGGTAACACTTAACCGATATCTACCTTCAGACGTACACGGTAACACTGAACCGATATCTATCTTCAGACGTACATGGTAACACTGAAACGATATCTAGCTTCAGACATACACGGTAACACTGAACCGATATCTATCTCCAGACGTACATGGTAACACTAAACCGATATCTATCTTCAGACGTACATGGTAACACTGAACCGATATCTACCTTCAGACGTACACGGTAACACTGAACCGATATCTACCTTCAGACGTACACGGTAACACTGAACCGATATCTACCTTCAGATGTGCACGGTAACAGTGAACCGATATCTACCTTAACACATTCACGGTAACACTGAACCGATATCTTCCTTCAGACGTACACGGTAACAGTGAACCGATATCTACCTTCAGACGTACATGGTAACAGTGAACCGATATCTACCTTAACACATTCACGGTAACACTGAACCGATATCTTCCTTCAGACGTACATGGTAACACTGAACCGATATCTTCCTTCAGACATACACGGTAACACTGAACCGATTTCTATCTTCAGACGTACATGGTAAAACAGAACCGATATCTACCTTCAGACGTACACGGAAACACTGAACCGATATCTACCTTCAGACGTGCACGGTAACACTGAACCGATATCTACCTTCAGACGTACACGGAAACACTGAACCGATATCTACTTTCAGACGTACATGGTAACACTGAAACGATATCTATCTTCAGACGTACACGGTAACACTGAACCGATATCTACCTTCAGACGTACATGGTAAAACAGAACCGATATCTTTCTTCAGACGTACACGGAAACACTGAACCGATATCTTCCTTCAGACATACACGGTAACACTGAACCGATATCTATCTTCAGACGTACATGGTAAAACAGAACCGATATCTACCTTCAGACGTACACGGAAACACTGAACCGATATCTACCTTCAGACGTGCACGGTAACACTGAACCGATATCTACCTTCAGACGTACACGAAAACAGTGAACCGATATCTACTTTCAGACGTACATGGTAACACTGAAACGATATCTATCTTCAGACGTACACGGTAACACTGAACCGATATCTACCTTCAGACGTACATGGTAAAACAGAACCGATATCTACCTTCAGACGTACACGGAAACACTGAACCGATATCTACCTTCAGACGTACACGGTAACACTGAACCGATATCTACCTTCAGACGTACATGGTAAAACTGAACCGATATCTACCTTCAGACGTACACGGAAACACTGAACCGAAATCTTTCTTCAGACGTACACAAAGACAGTGAACCGATATCTACCTTCAGACGTACACGGTAACACTGAACCGATATCTACCTTCAGACGTACACGGTAACACTAAACCAATATCTATCTTCAGACGTACATGGTAACACTGAACCGATATCTACCTTCAGACGTACATGGTAAAACTGAACCGATATCTACCTTCAGACGTACACGGAAAAACTGAACCGATATCTACCTTCAGACGTACATGGTAAAACTGAACCGATATCTACCTTCAGACGTACATGGTAAAACAGAACCGATATCTACCTTCAGACGTACACGGAAACACTGAACCGATATCTACCTTCAGACGTACACGGTAACACTGAACCGATATCTACCTTCAGACGTACATGGTAAAACTGAACCGATATCTACCTTCAGACGTACACGGAAACAGTGAACCGAAATCTTTCTTCAGACGTACACAAAGACAGTGAACCGATATCTACCTTCAGACGTACACGGTAACACTGAACCGATATCTACCTTCAGACGTACACGGTAACACTAAACCAATATCTATCTTCAGACGTACATGGTAACATTGAACCGATATCTATCTTCAGACGTACATGGTAACACTGAACCGATATCTACCTTCAGACGTACACGGAAAAACTGAACCGATATCTACCTTCAGACGTACATGGTAAAACTGAACCGATATCTACCTTCAGACGTACATGGTAACACTGAACCGATATCTACCTTCAGACGTACATGGTAACACTGAACCGATATCTACCTTCAGACGTACACGGTAACACTGAACTGATATCTACCTTCAGACGTACATGGTAACACTGAACCGATATCTATCTTCAGACGTACATGGCAAAACTGAACCGATATCTACCTTCAGACGTACACGGTAACAGTGAACCGATATCTACCTTCAGACGTACATGGTTACACTGAACCGATGTCTACCTTTAGACGTACACGGAAACAATGAACCGATACCTACCTTCAGACGTACACGGTAACAGTGAACCGATATCTACCTTCAGACGTACACGGTAACAGTGAATCGATATCTATATTCAGACGTACACGGTAACACTGAACCGATATCTACATTCAGACGTACACGGTAACACTGAACAGATATCTATTTCTAGGATTAGTGTTCCAAAATATCCTTACCTTAGAATAGCAGATCTGATAACAGTAGAGGATTAGTGTTCATATCTATCCATACCTTTTAACATTTAACAACATTATTTACACTTTTAATGTCTAGAATTTGAAGAAGGTTTTGTAAGTGATAAAGTTGAATATCCCACATCCATGTTTAGTCTATAAATGATTATCAAACAAAATTCCTGAATATCGTTCTGGCACTTCAATAAATAAATCAACAAAATATCAACAATGGTTTGTTAGTTTATTTCCGGTGAACACATATTGAAATAAAATGAACTAGTAACAATCTGCAATCCTGCAATACAATCGTCTAAAATAACATGGAATATACAACAAGGGTGATATGGTTTCAGCTGCAAATACATATTTTTACAGAGCTTAATTTTTCTTGGTTATTCCCAAAAATCAGTTTTTCATGGGTACTTGATTTTATGGAAAATAAAGCTCAATAATTCTATCTGAACTAATTTTATTAATGCTAGACATACAAGTTCCAGGATTAACAGTGCCCTGGAAATTAATCAAATTGTGAAAATTTCAGACGGAATAAAAACAACTTTCAGCAATAGTTAAGAAACTCCAACAACAAATTTCACTTACATGAATGACAACGATTAATTTACTGTATCTCAATGGCAATCAACAGTAGAATAGACACGTGTATATCACAAAAAACTATCACAATTATGTAATGTGTAAATGATATAAAAATGTACTGTTCAGAAAAACACACTGTGAGTATATTTCCCTTTGTACATAAAAATAAACCCACAAAAATGTATATTAATTAAAATACAATAGTAGATTAAAATAGAAAAAAATATATTTGTATCATTACACTAAAATTGGACTGGTAACGTTGCTCAAGAATTCAATTCTTAGAAATGGAATGTCAGGTCATAAAATAAATGCAAAATAGAACAATCACTTGCCTTTAATTATGTATCCTTTTATATCATGATAGAAATAGTACTCAAGGGGAAATAATAATGTTAAACTGGGGAGATAATATTGTTAAACAAGTGAGAAAATAATGTTAAACAGAGGAAATAACAATGTTAAAAAGGGGAGATAATAATGTTAAACAGGGGAGATAATAATGATAAACAGGGGAGATAATATTGTTAAACAAGTGAGAAAATAATGTTAAACAGAGGAAATAACAATGTTAAAAAGGGGAGATAAAAATGTTAAACAGGGGAGATAATAATGATAAACAGGGGAGATAATAATGTTAAACAATAAAGATAATAATGTTAAACAGGAGAGATAAAATGGAAAACAGGGGAGATAAAAATGATAAAAAATATACATTGGTATAACCTAGGTGGAAATAAATCACAATACAAAAAGCATGTTGATAAAATTATTGATTATGTAGAAGAAGATATTAATGTTCTGGAAATACTTTTTAACTTATTACAAACATTTGAGTAGTGTAATCTTACATATTTGAGAGATATTTTCATGCTGAAGGTATTGTGCTGGAATATGACTGCTCTAATTGCAGTGAATTTTCCTACTTATACAATAGTTACTGTGCATACATGTATTTCTCTTTGCACAAATTTGCCAACAAGTGATTATGCAATAAAATTAAACTGGACTAAAGTATGTATGAATACATTAATACTTTTCAGATGATGAGATCTACAATTGCTTTTTTCTATAAAGCTATCCACCAGATTGGTTTTTTCTTCAGGTTTATGATATTTGCTAACAATTATTTCAATACAATTTTTCATTGTCATTGTATTCATTTCTTAACATTGTGTAACTGACTGATAACATTCATTGTAAATGATTCAAATAACATTTTGACAAAATTTCATCATTATCATTGAAAAACTTCAAATTGTTTTACTAAGCAATATTTTAACTGTAATTCGTAAAACAAATCATTTTTATAATAGTTAAATTAATGCATTTTGAATAATAATCTAATGATGTTATTTTCACTATATCAAATATTCATGATCCGTTGATTGATAGCAACAACAGAATCAATTGGTTTTTATCTATATTGTAATTGAGTCAGTAATATATTCTGTGATTTCAATGTTTCAAATTTTCAATCCTTCACAATCATAGGGAAAATTTCATGAACATGTAAAATTCCTATAATAGGTATTTGTACAAATGGAAAAAATATTGTAAAGTATAACATTTGTGCCAGTTGACAAACATTATCAATAGTTACCTATGTCAACAGTGGTTAAAACAATATCTATTAGATGTGTATGGAGGTTACTTTTAAATGTTACATTCATAACACCATGAATGTCATACCATATATAGCAATCCAAATATAATGTCATCTTTTCTTCTGTACTGTTATAAGAGGTTTGGAATATATTGGCAAGCATTCCATATACAGCACCAGGTTATGAGGTAAGGACAAATGTACACCTACACCAGTTATATGTAATTAATCATCACATGAATTCTCTTTGTCAGTGGAAGACAAATTCTATCTGAATCAACAAATCATACAATTGCTAAAAATGAAATATTTTGTAATCATGACTTGATATTAATTTTTAAATCAATTCCGGGTTATGATATTCCATATTACATTTATTGTTTATAAATTAATTAATTAAAACGAATTAGTGAAATATAATTACAAAGTGAAATATCATTACAAAACCTGCTTTAATGATATTGACACTGCATTTTGTTGTAAAAAGTCAGAAAACACAATTATAAATTATTGCTATTTTAACCTTGATGATGGCTTGAAGGTAAGTGTAAGTCATAAGACACTATAAACATGATCAACGTCAATTAAATCTCATAAAACTGTTATCTCTTAGAAAAAAAAATTAAATGAGTCAACATTGTTTTGTTCCGTCTGTACAACCAACATCAACTCATTAAAAAGTTTGAAAAGTCATTGCTTTACAAAAATTATCTACAGTAGCGAATCACACACACAAAACAGTTTCTGAGCATCTCCGACCATTTGGTCATGGTCTGCTGAATAAGTCAACAACAAAGTTCAGCAGTAGAGGTCAGCAGCAGTGATCACAGGTGAAGGTCAGTAAATGTAAGCTGTCTTTACTTGAGTTCTGTGATTGTCACATGTGATGTTGTTTGAATTATCTCTGCACTTTAGAAGTAATGACAAATGGATCATGGTCACTTTGCAACTGGTCAAGGGTGAAAATGATTCATAAAATGGCATTTTTAACAAATGAACTATCAATTGATTGGCCTATACTGATATGATTTAGGTAGTGTAAAATACACTGGATAATTTCAGAAAAGTTTATTTAGGACTTAGAAATATATTTCTGAAAGGCTGCGAGACAGGTTGTGACACCTACATATCCTATGCTAACAAGTGTGAAGGTGACCCTTATGACCTTCACTACGATTAGTTTTACTACTGATAACCATGAGTAAGTGTCAGATTTTATCACTATTACATATCATGATTTTACATAGTGGTATCCTACATATCAACCACTGAAACATCACAGATCACCACCAGACACTTGATTTATTTTACAAAAAACACGTTTAATATCGGTCCATTTTAGCTTTAATCCCCTCCTCGTCATCTTTTCCTTGTTCTTCCTTTATAGCACTTTTTATTTTGGCCCAGTTTTTGCGAGCAGGTGCTTTCCCTGGATAAAAGGAGCTGCTTGAGCTAAATGTTCCCCCTGCACCTGTTAATAAACATGTTACACTACACAACATATTGTCAGGCTTGATTAGATTTTACTGATATGGGCCTCCTAAAGATCTTTTACTTCCTTGTAAATTTTGGCAAGTTCCTCTTATTATCACATCTTTTAATATCACTACACACTTAATGGCAAGTTTTCTTAAAATGCTATAATGTCACTTGTTTTAAGGTGACCTTTTAATATCACTTCATTTGGACAGTCACCAAAAATCATAAAGGGAAAACATTGTTGTATGTGTTTATCAGAGATAATGTTACAGAATTATACCTAAGTTTGTAAATAAAACCACATTTCTTTACTTCAAACTCTACACCAAAGGGATCAATGATTGAAATATTTACCACGTTGTGTTGGTCTTCGTGGCCCACCAAACATGGATTCTGCCTCGTCAAAATCATCCTGTAGACCTGAGAGATTTATAAGCTTCTCCTTACCAACTGTAAAACAGAAAAATACAAGTTCTGAAAACAAATCGTCTAGGCAGGAGGAGGTGACCTTTTCAAATCTGATAGAGAAGTTAATCCCCATCAATGAAGTGTTAGGTGAGAGAGCAGAATGAATTTTCCAAAGCTTCCCCATGCAGTGGCAGATTCAGAGAACAGTCCCTCTTTTCCAGGGATTCTTATTCTCATAATGCATTTAAATTCATTTATTGAACAGATGGGATTAAATTTCTGCATATCAACCAAAATTTTACTGTGACACAGACATAACTGGTTGATACCAGCTTTTTATGGAAACTAATGTCTGATAATAGACAGCATGGAGAGGAAAAGGGAGGAGAGACTCCATAAAGTTATGGTAAGTTTTGTGTCATGATTCTTTTTTAACAATGCTATACCTGCCTCAATGTAACATGAAAACATCTTACCAAAATTTTGTTCATCCCAGCTGTATACCATGTGCTTGTTAATTTTTTCCCCTTTCTGTCGCAGATCCAATCTGGTCTTCCTCAGTGGGGCATCTATGCCTTTCACACCCTGTCGTAAATTACGTTTAGACCATTCTCTTGTCTTGTGCTGGAAAAAAGATTAGCAATACGCGCAATCACTTACAGCATTTTCCTAAGAATCGAAACTTGGAATGGTAAGGCCGACGGGGATGGAGGTGCTGGTGGACAGTGGTGGACAACAGAGACAAATAAAAACATATATCAATCAAAAACTCACCAGAATTGGAAGCATTAAACAAGGATGAATTAAACATTGTATCAATACCCTGAATAAACCTTAGAGATCGACTGTAAATCTGATTTTTGATGAAAAATAGGATTTCACTGACAAATATCTATATCAATGTTATCACCCAGCTGTACAATGATACAGAGGTATCTAGCTAAGACTTACTCTGGTCTCAGCTTCTTTCCTTCTCTTCTCCTCCTCCATTTCGTCTTCCCCCTGAAGGACCGTCATCTCAGCCAACTTCTGTTGAACCTGGTTTTTCACTTTAAACAGAAAAAAAAAAAAAAAAAAAATAGAAAACAAAAATTAAATATTGAAATGTCAGGAATCTAACACTATTTCAGTAACTGTCAATAACATGTGTGAGTTAATTAGAACATCATAACAACATGTAGCCAGGAGTAAGAATATATTTCTTGTGAATCATCACACATAACCAGTATGAAAGAACATATGTATGTGCACATCTAGCACAGACTAAACATCCTCTGTACAGTCACCGCCAACCCCTTCCTGTCACTGCCAACTCCTACCCGTCACTGCCAACTCCTACCCGTCACCGCCAACCACTACCCATCATCCGTCACCGCCAACTCCTACCCATCAACGCCAACCTCTACTCGTCACTGCCAACCCCTACTCGTCACCGCCAACTCCTACCCATCACCGCCAACCCCTACCCGCCACCGACAACCCTACCCATTACCGCCAACTCCTATCCGTCACCGCCAACCCCTACCCATTATCTGTCACCGCCAACTCCTACCCGTCACCACCAACCCCTCCCCGTCACCGCCAACCCCTACTCGTCACCGCCAACTCCTACCCGTCACCACCAACCCCTCCTCGTCACCGCCAACCCCTACTCGTCACCGCCAACCCCTACCCGTCACCGCCAACCCCTACTCGTCACCGCCAACCCCTACCCGTCACCGCCAACCCCTACCCGTCACCGCCAACTCCTACCCGTCACCGCCAACCCCTACCCGTCACCACCAACTCCTACCCGTCACCGCCAACCCCTATCCATCATCCGTCACCGCCAACTCCTACCCGTCACCGCCAACTCCTACCCATCACCACCAACCACTACCCGTCACGGTGTGTGATTTATACCTCTACAGGACATCATCATCCCTGTTGAGTGTCACTACATTACTGTATTATTTCAGACTGGCATCTTTGGTCTTCGACCCATGGTTATAAATACCATCAAAAAGCAATCATAACTATGGGAAAATGTTTTACTAATTACAGTATAAAATCAAAGGGAATTTTTAATTCTATCGTTCACAGTAGATTCTGTTTAATTTCATTGTTAAGCCACAGTATAAACTCACCATTTGGATCCTTTAGCTGTCTCAAGGCAGTGACGTTGATGATGAGTAACCAACATGGCGTAGCAGCGATCTCTTTCTCATCTTTTATAAAACTGATACCCACAATGCTTTGATGTTGGAGCAGGCTGATGTGTTCATCAAAAACCTGCAGAGATAATTAAAATCTCTCCTTAACATTAAACCCTGATATAAAACCATCATCTATGTCCTCTCTCCTTAACAGTCTGTCTCTCCTTAACATTAAACCCTGCAATATAAAACCATCATCTTGTCCTCTCTCCTTAACATTAAACCCTGCAATATAAAACCATCATCTCGTCCTCTGTCCTTAACATCAAACCCTGCACTATATAACAGTCATCTCTCCTTAACATTAAACCCTGCACTATATAACTGTCATCTCTCCTTAACATTAAACCCTGCAATATAAAACCATCATCTTGTCCTCTCTCCTTAACATTAAACCCTGCAATATAAAACTGTCATCTCTCCTTAACATTAAACCCTGCACTATATAACCGTCCTCTCACCTTAACATTAAACCCTGCAATATAAACCATCTCTCCTCTCTCCAACATTAAACCCTGCACTATAAAACCATAACTGTCATCTCTCCTTAACATTAAACCCTGCAATATAATAACTGTCATCTCTCCTTAACATTAAACCCTGCAATATAAAACTGTCATCTCTCCTTAACATTAAACCCTGCACTATATAACTGCACTATATAACCGTCATCTCTCCTTAACATTAAACCCTGCAATATAAAACAGTCATCTCTCCTTAACATTAAACCCTGCAATATAAAACCATCATCTTGTCCTCTCTCCTTAACATTAAACCCTGCAATATAAAACAGTCATCTCTCCTTAACATTAAACCCTGCACTATATAACTGTCATCTCTCCTTAACATTAAACCCTGCAATATAAAACCATCATCTCGTCCTCTCTCCTTAACATTAAACCCTGCAATATAAAACATTAAACCCTGCAATATAAAACAGTCATCTCTCCTTAACATTAAACCCTGCACTATATAACCTTCATCTGTCATCTCTCCTTAACATTAAACCCTGCACTATATAACTGTCATCTCACCTTAACATTAAACCCTGCACTATATAACTGTCATCTCTCCTCAACATTAAACCCTGCAATATAAAACCATCATCTCGTCATCTCTCCTTAACATTAAACCCTGCACTATATAACTGTCATCTCTCCTTAACATTAAACCCTGCACTATATAACTGTCATCTCACCTTAACATTAAACCCTGCACTATATAACCGTCATCTCTCCTTAACATTAAACCCTGCACTATATAACTGTCATCTCTCCTTAACATTAAACCCTGCACTATATAACTGTCATCTCTCCTTAACATTAAACCCTGCACTATATAACTGTCATCTCTCCTTAACATTAAACCCTGCAATATAAAACAGTCATCTCGTCCTCTCACCTTAACATTAAACCCTGCACTATATAACTGTCATCTCTCCTTAACATTAAACCCTGCACTATATAACTGTCATCTCTCCTTAACATTAAACCCTGCAATATATAACTGTCATCTCTCCTTAACATTAAACCCTGCACTATATAACCGTCCTCTCACCTTAACATTAAACCCTGCAATATAAAACAGTCATCTCTCCTTACCCTGCTGTCATCTCTCCTTAACATTAAACCCTGCAATATAAAACCATCATCTCGTCCTCTCTCCTTAACATTAAACCCTGCACTATATAACTGTCATCTCTCCTTAACATTAAACCCTGCACTATATAACTGTCATCTCTCCTTAACATTAAACCCTGCAATATAAAACAGTCATCTCTCCTTAACATTAAACCCTGCAATATAAAACCATCATCTCGTCCTCTCTCCTTAACATTAAACCCTGCAATATAAAACAGTCATCTCTCCTTAACATTAAACCCTGCAATATATAACCATCTCTCCTTAACATTAAACCCTGCAATATATAACTGTCCTCTCTCCTTAACATTAAACCCTGCATTAAACCCTGCACTATATAACTGTCATCTCTCCAACATTAAACCCTGCATATATAACTGTCATCTCTCCTTAACAACCATCTCTCCTTAACATTAAACCCTGCAATATATAACTGTCATCTCTCCTTAACATTAAACCCTGCAATATAAAACAGTCATCTCTCCTTAACATTAAACCCTGCAATATAAAACCATCATCTTGTCCTCTCTCCTTAACATTAAACCCTGCAATATATAACTGTCATCTCTCCTTAACATTAAACCCTGCACTATATAAAACCTGTCATCTCTCCTCTCTCCTTAACATTAAACCCTGCAATAACTGTATAACATTAAACCCTACAATATATAACTGTCATCTCTCCTTAACATTAAACCCTGCAATATATAACCGTCATCTCTCCTGAACATTAAACCCTGCAATATAAAACCATCATCTTCGTCCTCTCTCCTTAACATTAAACCCTGCAATATAAAACCATCATCTTGTCCTCTCTCCTTAACATTAAACCCTGCAATATATATATCTCTCCTTAACATTAAACCCTGCAATATGTCATCTCTCCTTAACATTAAACCCTGCAATATAAAACTGTCCTCTCACCTTAACATTAAACCCTGCAATATAAAACCATCATCTTGTCCTCTCTCCTTAACATTAAACCCTGCAATATAAAATAGTCATCTCTCCTTAACATTAAACCCTGCACTATATAACTGTCATCTCTCCTTAACATTAAACCCTGCAATATAAAACCATCATCTTGTCCTCTCTCCTTAACATTAAACCCTGCAATATAAAACAGTCATCTCTCCTTAACATTAAACCCTGCACTATATAACTGTCATCTCTCCTTAACATTAAACCCTGCAATATAAAACAGTCATCTCGTCCTCTCACCTTAACATTAAACCCTGCAATATAAAACCATCATCTTGTCCTCTCTCCTTAACATTAAACCCTGCAATATATAACTGTCATCTCTCCTTAACATTAAACCCTGCAATATAAAACCATCATCTCGTCCTCTCTCCTTAACATTAAACCCTGCACTATATAACTGTCATCTCTCCTTAACATTAAACCCTGCAATATAAAACCATCATCTCGTCCTCTCTCCTTAACATTAAACCCTGCACTATATAACTGTCATCTCTCCTTAACATTAAACCCTGCAATATAAAATAGTCATCTCTCCTTAACATTAAACCCTGCACTATATAACTGTCATCTCTCCTTAACATTAAACCCTGCAATATAAAACCATCATCTTGTCCTCTCTCCTTAACATTAAACCCTGCATTATATAACTGTCATCTCTCCTTAATATAAAACAGTCATCTCTCCTTAACATTAAACCCTGCAATATAAAACCATCATCTCGTCCTCTCACCTTAACATTAAACCCTGCACTATATAACTGTCATCTCTCCTTAACATTAAACCCTGCAATATAAAACAGTCATCTCTCCTTAACATTAAACCCTGCAATATAAAACCATCATCTCGTCCTCTACATTAAATATATTAAACCCTCCTTAACATTAAACCCTGCACTATATAACTGTCCTCTCTCCTTAACATTAAACCCTGCAATATAAAACCATCATCTTGTCCTCTCTCCTTAACATTAAACCCTGCAATATAAAACCATCATCTCGTCCTCTCTCCTTAACATTAAACCCTGCACTATATAACTGTCATCTCTCCTTAACATTAAACCCTGCAATATAAAACTGTCATCTCTCCTTAACATTAAACCCTGCAATATAAAACCATCATCTCGTCCTCTCTCCTTAACATTAAACCCTGCAATATAAAACCATTGTCATCTCTTTAACATTAAACCCTGCAATATATATATAATGTCATCTCTCCTTAACATTAAACCCTGCAATATAAAACTGTCGTCCTCTCTCTTAACATTAAACCCTTAACATTAAACCCTGCAATATAAAACCATAACATTAAACCCTGCAATATAAAACATTCAACACGTCATCTCACCTTAACATTAAACCCTGCAATATATAACTGTCATCTCTCCTTAACATTAAACCCTGCAATATATAACTGTCATCTCTCCTTAACATTAAACCCTGCACTATAAAACCTGTCCTCTCTCCTTAACATTAAACCCTGCAATATAAAACCATCATCTTGTCCTCTCTCCTTAACATTAAACCCTGCAATATAAAACCATCATCTTGTCCTCTTTCCTTAACATTAAACCCTGCAATATAAAACCATCATCTCGTCCTCTCACCTTAACATTAAACCCTGCACTATATAACTGTCATCTCTCCTTAACATTAAACCCTGCAATCTCTCCTTAACATTAAACCCTGCACTATAAAAGTCATCTCTCCTTAACATTAAACCCTGCAATATAAAACCATCATCTAGTCCTCTCTCCTTAACATTAAACCCTGCAATATAACTGTCATCTATATCTGTCCTCTCTCCTTAACATTAAACCCTGCAATATATAACTGTATAACATTAAACCCTGCATCATCTCTCTCTTAACATTAAACCCTGCAATATAAAACCAATCTGTCCTCTCTCCTTAACATTAAACCCTGCAATATATAACTGTCATCTCTCCTTAACATTAAACTCTCCTTAACATTAAACCCTGCAATATAAAACAGTCATCTCTCCTTAACATTAAACCCTGCAATATAAAACCATCATCTCGTCCTCTCTCCTTAACATTAAACCCTGCAATATAAAACCATCATCTTGTCCTCTCTCCTTAACATTAAACCCTGCAATATAAAACAGTCATCTCTCCTTAACATTAAACCCTGCAATATAAAACTTAACATTAAACCCTGCAATATAAAACGTCCTCTCTCCTTAACATTAAACCCTGCAATATAAAACAGTCATCTCTCCTTAACATTAAACCCTGCAATATAAAACAGTCATCTCTCCTTAACATTAAACCCTGCACTATATAACTGTCATCTCTCCTTAACATTAAACCCTGCACTATATAACTGTCATCTCTCCTTAACATTAAACCCTGCAATATAAAACAGTCATCTCTCCTTAACATTAAACCCTGCAATATATCACATTAAACCCTGCAATATAAAACTATATCTGTCCTCTCTCCTTAACATTTAACCTTAACATTAAACCCTGCACTATATAACTGTCATCTCTCCTTAACATTAAACCCTGCACTATATAACTGTCATCTCTCCTTAACATTAAACCCTGCAATATAAAACCATCATCTTGTCCTCTCTCCTTAACATTAAACCCTGCATTATATAACTGTCATCTCTCCTTAACATTAAACCCTGCAATATAAAACAGTCATCTCTCCTTAACATTAAACCCTGCAATATAAAACAGTCATCTCTCCTTAACATTAAACCCTGCACTATATAACTGTCATCTCTCCTTAACATTAAACCCTGCAATATAAAACAGTCATCTCTCCTTAACATTAAACCCTGCAATATATAACTGTCATCTCTCCTTAACATTAAACCCTGCACTATATAACCGTCCTCTCACCTTAACATTAAACCCTGCACTATATAACTGTCATCTCACCTTAACATTAAACCCTGCAATATAAAACCATCATCTCGTCCTCTCACCTTAACATTAAACCCTGCACTATATAACTGTCATCTCTCCTTAACATTAAACCCTGCAAACCTGTGACGTCATAAGTTCAACGCTTTTGTTGATGCAGCCATATTGTCTTTACTGTGCTACATGTGATTGTGAACGAGGCAATATCCCATCATCTGTGTATGGTTGTCTCTCTCCTTAACATTAAACCCGCTATAACATAACCCTGTCATCTCTCCAACATTAAACCCTGCACTATATAACTGTCATCTCTCCTTAACAGAGAAGGCCTAGTCGTGAATGGGTCACGGGAATTTTCACCCCGAGAATTTTCATACTGCTATTATATAGCATAGAATAGAATTATTAGAATTTATAGAATAGGTTATGTGTGTATGTTGTTTGTATAAGGTGTATTTGGTTTTTAGATCTTCCAGGAGACGATGTTGTTTAGTTATTAATTATGCGATCGTAAAATAACAATAAGATCACCAATCTTGATCATCTAAACTCATAATCACACCTGTGCCAGGTTAGGTAATTAGCACCTCTGTGGCTGGAAAAAACAATTGTGACATCTGTGAGGCGACACACCTGTAATCGAACGCTAATAACGGAGAAGGCCTAGTCGTGAATGGGTCACGGGAATTTTCACCCCGAGAATTTTCATACCAGTCAAATAATTGTTTAAACTTCTAAAACATCAAATTTTTATTATTAACACAGCGGAGGGTGTTATAATTGGTTGTTGACACCCTATCTATATATATCCATAGTGCTACGAAAATTCCCTGGAAAGAAAAATTCCCCTCGGACGAAACTTCTTCGGTAAGAAAATTCCCGACACCCCGTGAATGTATGCATAGTCTTGCACAAACGCGATTTCCTGACGTCAGAAATTGTTGATCGAGACTTAAAGATAGTAAAATTAGTCCAAAAACACACCCAATTTTATTTTGTTTCTTTGAAACGACGATTCACTGTTCGACTACTTTCACGACTACTGGTGAGACCCAGTGAAGTACGTGCCAATCTATGTTGCCCAAGCGATCGTCACTTTTCGAAGGGTCATTTTCCTCCTCACTGGATACATCGTCTTGTAATTCCAGTTCAAATCGGTAGGGCTGGATTCCGTCTTCAGACATATCATTTACACCATAATCAGACTCCTCAAAACTCATGCTCAAATCGCTCTCAGTTGCGGTGTCGTTGTCACTGTCAGTCATGTTGACTGCCATTTCTGTTGAACTTATGACGTCACGAGTAGAAGAGCCTCAATTCCGCGGAAATGACAATTCGGCTGATTAGGTCTGGGCGGACAGGTGAAAATCGACAACTTTGAGCTTTAATAACTCGACACTGGGGCAACGGATTTTGACGGGGTTTTCATTATTATTATTTTTACGGCATTCTTAACATTATATCTAAATATAAAATTACTCTCAGGGTACACTTTAACATTAAACCCTGCAATATATAACCGTCATCTCATCCAAATCGCTTTGTAACTCACATAGAATAATTTATATAATTACATTAAACAATGTTATATTAACAGAAAAGGTTCCATTTTATGTCTGAATTACCATGGATCTACATTGTAGCAGCTTTTTAAGCTTTGGGCTAGATACATACTTGCTAGCTCTTATGTTAGTTCCGAACAGATTTGGCACATAAATGGAAACAGAAAGCATTGAAAATTTGTCAAAGAGCCACAACTCTGGATATGATTAGGTAGAGGGTATCTTACATTCTATATTAATAAATATATCCATCAAAGCTTGTTTCTGACTTTGACTTTGAGTTGCTTGTGTCTATAAAGCAAAAATACATATTCTTCCTTCTTCCTAATACAAAACCAAAAAACAAAAAAAAAACTACGACAACCCCACCATGAGGATTACAACCCTAGCCTAATCGATTTTATATTAAAGCAGGACAGAACTCTATATTACTATTCTAACCAAGAAAATGAAAAAGCCAAAGAGCATTACCTTGCCAATGTAACTCCTGTATTCTTCTGAAAGTGTGTCTCGTCGACTGTTTCGGAACACACCTAGTCCAATCCTAAATCAAATCAAATGAATGAAAAAGTTACTACACAGCGTTAAACTTTCCGCTATAATATCTAGCTATCAAATTTCCTTTCAGGTTTTTATTCACAATGGGTAAAATTCTATGGTTATAACATCAGCAGCCTTCTTAGAAAAAATTTTACTTACCAATAATTATTGTTAGTCTTTGTACCCCTGGAACATGGCAAAATAGGCCTTGGGGCCAGTTGACCTAACGACAAGATCAACCTGCTGCTGTGTTGAACTATGAGATATCATTTAATTATACTTCTAAAATTCTCATGAATGTCCTTTGACCCTTTGAATGATGATTCAAAATATACAAACAAGAGGCCCATGGGCCTTAACGGTCATCTGACAAAAAGCAAGCCAAACCTAGAAAGTGGGTTGAGGTCATTCATTTGAACAAACTTGGTAGCCTCTCCTCCAAGCATCTTACAGGCCCAATATCAGCACTCATGGACTTTTGCTTGTTGAGAAGAAGTCGTTTGTATATTTTAACATATTTGACCCCTGTGACCTTGAAAGTGGGTTGAGGTCATTCATTTGAACAAACTTTGTAGGGCTCCATGCCAGCATGCTATGGGCCAAGTATTAGCCCCCTAGGCCTTCTAGTATTTGAGAAGAAGTTATTTAAAGATTTTGACATATTTGACCCCTGCGACCTTGAAAGTTGTTCAAGGTCATTCATTTAAATAAACTTGGTAGCCTTTCCTCCCAGCATGCTACAGACCCAATATCGGCACTCATAGACTTTTGCTTATTGAGATGAAGTCCTTTGTATATTTTAACATATTTGACCCCTGTGACCTTGAAAGTGGGCCAAGGTCATTCATTTGAACAAACTTTGTATATAGCATGCTATGGGCCAAGTATTAGACCCCTAGGCCTTCTAGTATTTGAGAAGAAGTTATTTAAAGATTTTGACATATTTGACCCCTGTGACCTTGAAAGTTGTTCAAGGTCATTCATTTAAACAAACTTGATAGCCCTTCATCCCAGCATGCCACAGGCACAATATCAGCAATCTGAGCCTTTTGGTTATTGAGAAGAAGTTGTTTAAAGATTTTAACATATTTGACCCCTGTGACCTTTAAAGTGGGTCAAGGTCATTCATTTGAACAAACTTGGTAGTCCTTCATCCCAGCATGCTACAGGCCTTATTTTAGTTGCCTGGGCCTTTTGATTACTGAGAAGAAGTCCTTTGAAGATTTAAAGACATTTGACCCCTGTGACCTTGAATGAAGGTCAAGGTCATTCATTTGAACAAACTTGGTAGGGTTTCATCAAAGCAAGCTACAGGCTAAATATTAGTTGCCTGGGCCCTCCAGTTATTGAGAAGAAGTCGTTTGAAGATTTTAAGACATTTGACCCCTGTGACCTTGAATGAAGGTCAAGGTCATTCTTTTTAACAAACTTGGTAGGGCTTCATCAAAGCAAGCTACAGGCCAAATATTAGTTGCCTCGGCCTTCCAATTATTGAGAAGAAGTCGTTTGAATGAAAAGTTTACGGACGGCGCACGGCGCACGACGACGGACGAAGCATGATGACTATAGGTCATCGGACCCTTCGGGTCCGATGACCTAAAAATAAAAGGAAATAATAGGTAAACACTGTAACACGTTCCATGGAGTTTCCATTTATATACAGACATACTAAAAGGCAAACAGTCACTTCACTGTAACACGTTCCAAGGAGTTTCCATTTATATACAGACATACTAAAAGGCAAACAGTCACTTCACTGTAACACGTTCCAAGGAGTTTCCATTTATATACAGACATACTAAAAGGCAAACAGTCACTTCACTGTAACACGTTCCAAGGAGTTTCCATTTATATACAGACATACTAAAAGGCAAACAGTCACTTCACTGTAACACGTTCCAAGGAGTTTCCATTTATATACAGACATACTAAAAGGCAAACAGTCACTTCACTGTAACACGTTCCAAGGAGTTTCCATTTATATACAGACATACTAAAAGGCAAACAGTCACTTCACTGTAACACGTTCCAAGGAGTTTCCATTTATACACAGACATACTAGCTAACTTTGTTGTAGAGATGTCTTTATCCATTTAATATTCAATGTGGAATACACTTTTATATTAACAGAAATTGTCTGGTGAAAATTTTGTGTTCAAAATTACAATAATAATTGGAAGAGTTTTTATTTAGAAAGATCTCTCAGATGTCCATTTAAACTCCATCTTATCAAAAGCCTACCGTTCTCCATCAAACTCTTCATAGGACATATCGATGCTGACTTCGCGGTCAAGTATGTAGAATTTGGCCACTGGACGGTCATATTCCATGTACAGAATCTTACACCATATATCTGGGTCAAGCTCGCCCCACTTCTGTAGCAGCTGGTTCAGGTGGTTCTAAAGATAGAGGTCAAGGTCAAGATGTCATCAATGAGAGGTCAACGTTAAGGGAAAGATACATGTAGGTCAAGTTTGTCCATTTTCTTTAATTGCTGGTCAAAACTGCATCAAAGAGAGGTGTAATTTAGGAGAAATATTCATATAAGTCAAGTTTGTCCAACTCCTATTGTAGATGTATTTCTTTCTGAAGTTTTCACAGATATAGGTCAAGTTCAACATCACATGAAAGGTCAAGTGTGAATGAATGATAGCTTCTGCCATTTACATAATTTGTGAAGAACTTGTATATAAAGAGGAAAAATTCAATGAAATATTGATTTATCTCATGTAAAAGTAAGTTTATCTATACATGAACATTTATACAGGCAAAGCTTCAAATTGCCAATGCATACTTTCTGAAGGTTGTTGATGTTATGATTAAGTTCATGTACATCATTTCCATAAAAGTCCTTTAAAATTGAAAATTTACCTGATATAAAAAACCAGAATTTTCCTTCTGGTCATGTTGACCTTGAACATCAGGAATCTGTCGTCCTTGATGGTGACCTTGGTGACTGGATGGTTGTCTAGGGTCAGGTTCATTGTAGTAGTCCGGACTAAATATCATAATCCAGGCGGTAATATTAACTGTCTACATGGCATTGATCACAAAATACATGTAAAGTGTAAGTAACCTATGTATATGTACAGAAATAGTCTGTATAGTCATTAGTCATTAGGACTGGAAAATACCTGGAAACTTTACGGTGGATAATTCATGTGTACTTCACAAAGATGATCTTAGATGCTTCAATCAGATATGTTATGTTCTTCATTTTGTGTAAAGTTTCCACCTTAAGCAGGGCTTTTACATTAAACTTCATTCATTTTACAATAAATGTGAAACAAGTTATTTCAACTTATATTAAACCCTATTCATGGCCTGGAAGGAAGCACGCAAGGTGTCATATTGTGGGAGGAAATTGGAGTACCTGGAGAAAACCCACATGGTCCGGAAGTTGGCCAAACCTTATCACATCTGTCCACTCCTCTTGTATATTCTCAAGCCGTACAACACCAATAACCGTTAAATGTTGACAAAACATTTTCCACAACTGAGAAATTTACACTACATACCGAGGCCAGTTATAGTCTTCCTCTATGTGGTGGTAATAGTCAGGAACACCTCGATTAGTGACATGGGGCATTACTGGGGCCCCGCGTCTCTCGGTTTCACGTCTCTCGGCTTCACGTCTCTCGGTTTCACGTCTCTCGGCTTCACGTCTCTCGGTTTCTTCTAACTGTAAGTAATGTGAAGTACGTGAATTTAAGTTTAATTACAAAACCCTTTAAGTCTAAAGGACATCTATTCCATCATCTCCTTGGACTTCAAAATTTGTTTGGAAGTAATGAACATAGAAGTGATTTATTTTGGAGTTCTGGAATCCAGCAGAGGTTTTACTCAAATAGCCCTAATTCACATTCATGTATAATGGTAAATATTTGATATCTTTAAACTTTTTTCTCAAGACTAAAAAACATAGTTGAGTCATACCTGAGTTTGGTAGTTGAATCATACCTGAGTTAGGTAGTTGTGTCATACCTGAGTTAGGTAGTTGAATCATACCTGAGTTAGGTAGTTGAGTCATACCTGAGTTTGGTAGTTGAGTCATACCTGAGTTTGGTAGTTGAGTCATACCTGAGTTTGGTAGTTGAGTCATACCTGAGTTTAAGTAGAGTTTGGTAGTTTAGTCATACCTGAGTTTAGGTAGTTGTGTCATACCTGAGTTAGTTTGGTAGTTGAATCATACCTGAGTCATACCTGAGTTTGGTAGTTGAGTCATACCTGAGTTTGGTAGTTTAGTCATACCTGAGTTTGGTAGATGAGTCATACCTGAGTTTGGTAGTTTAGTCATACCTGAGTTTGGTAGTTTAGTCATACCTGAGTTTGGTAGTTGAGTCATACCTGAGCTAGGTAGTTGTGTCATACCTGAGTTAGGTAGTTGAATCATACCTGAGTTTGGTAGTTTAGTCATACCTGAGTTTGGTAGTTGAGTCATACCTGAGTTTGGTAGTTGAATCTATCATGATCATCACTCGACACCATCATGTGATACACTTTAGAATTTTCACGTGACACAAACTCTCCAAAACTGGTCAGCAGTTCTTGGTGTTTCTGATGTTGTTTCCGTATTGAAAGAAACCGTCGCCTAGTGACAAATGTTCGTATTACACTCTGCAGTGTCACTAACTCCTCAATCATTACATCTAAACAGAGATTCAATTTGTCTGTTTGCCAGTAACGAAGAAACACCTGACAAGTAATAAACAGAAAATAATAAACATTCTATATATTTAATAACAAAGGCAGACTACTGTTTTCAAAAAAAGTTATACATTTCAAAACATCTAATTTTGTGATTACAATGGCAATTCAGAAATATCATGGTATTTTTCAATAGCAAAAAACTTGGAATGGTTCTTTCCATCGGTCATTCTTAATCAATAATGGATTTTTTTCTGATTGCCTCAATTCTGGACATCAATTTTGAATTTGTACAAACATTAGACTTAACCAGTGAAGAAAACATAGAAACACAAAATATCCATCTTTATCTTATTTTCATGTAAGTCATATTGCCATATAAATACAAATCACATTAAATATTCCCTAAAGAAAACATTTTATCTGGCAGCAATTTATCCGCTTGACAGCACAAATATAAAGCACTATCATTTCTTGTTGCCAAATTTTATCATTAACAATTTCTAATTACTCTTCAGTAAGATTTGATACTCTTGAGTAAGAATCAATATGTCCTCATATGACCATGTCTGTTGTACAGATGTCAAACTCTAAATATAGAAAAAAGACCACAATATCAGTATATAAATCAAAGTCATGTAACACAAAGTTTAAATTCTGATAAGGGGGAGATAACTCCTGACCTTCGTGTTCCCCAGCTCACAATCTCTTATATCTGTGGCCTTTAGAATGCGTAGACAAGCATTCTTCATAAAGGACGGTTCTATGATAGCTGTGGCAGGAAAACCTAACAGCTTATATCTGGAAATAGATAAAAAAATTATCATAAAACTTGAACTTGAAAATGAAATTAATTGAGACAACTACAGTAAAGGTTTTGGTAAAAAAATAATTCCTTTGTGTTTTTCATCTTATAGATATTAACATAGCTGCCAACATTTAAACTTGTGAATGAGGATTGATCCAAGGGTCTGGTTAGGGCCACTGGCGGGTCAAGGGCAGCACCCTAGTGTGAGGTCAGGGGAGCGAAGCCCTCCCCCCACCCACTCCCTTTGAAAAAAATACTAAAAAAACATCACAATCAACCAATTATGGAACATAGTGCTATATTACAATCATTACCATCGTCAGACAAAGAACCACTTAGATTTTATAAAAAGCTGTTTTGTTGGAAATCAAGACTCATAATAAAAGAAACAGTCTCTTGCCATAATTCTTTTCCTTTAATCATGACTATTGAACAATGTGTGTTAAATATTCAAATTCTAGCTTTATTGTCCATCATTCAAGTCCACCAATAATTGTTGTCAATGGTGAAGTTAGTGCAGAATTTTAAATTACAAACTAAACTGACAAGCCTTTAGTATTATAAGTACATGTAGCACACTTGCAGGTCTACACATGAGTTAAAACATTTTGGTAGAAATGCTTATGGTGACAGTGACTGATAAGTTGCAGATTCAACATTTTTGAAAAAATTTTGGAGACTGTTGACATTTGTAACATTCTTTTGATTGGCTTTTCACGCATAATTTTGTGTGACATCAAATTTGATAAACTGTGTGTAAACTTGAGCGGAATTTGTTTTTAATTTTTATTCACAATGCTACAAGTTCTTTCTCAGTCAGCAATACTATGGTATATGCACAGAGTTCCATTCATAACTCTAAATAGTGAAGAATATTTCTTCCTTCCTGTAGCAGGGTCTTTGATGTCACCAATCACATTCCATGCTCCATCAATTCTTTCATAATTTGTAATTTCTGAAGTCAATTCATCAATTTGATAATGCAGGAATTCATTTTCAATTCTGTTCAGTACCACTATCTCCAGCTGATGCCCCATCAACACATTTCAACACAGGAAATGTTTCCAAAAAATACTGAGAATCAATGTTAAAAAATTGGAACCATTCAAAAAAACATAGTATCTGATGAAGACTGACCTGTCAACAAAGACATGATGTGGAAGACGAGTTGGAAATCCTTGTTTCCTTATCCGAGTGGTTTCCAGGACACCGGTACTTCTGAGCTGGGAAAGGATCAACTTGCTGTCAAAGTTGTTCGGAGACTGATTTGTATTGGGTTTCAGACACCTACATTTCCATATAAAATATACATACTGTAAATTACCTTCATCTGAATACAAATTCAACGTACGTCAAAACTGTCCTAGAAAGTCATTAATAATTATCATTAACATCTCAAATATTTATATTTATAGTCAGACAATTTTAATACATCCCAACCAGGAGACAATAAAACATATATTTATGTGATAAAACATACAATAAACATACTAAAACACACAGTGGTAGACTGCATATGAGGTCAATAGGAGGTTTGCAGAACCCAAATCTTTCCACAAACACTCACTGGGATAGGATTTCATAATACATTGTACAACAGACTTCGCTCTTCAGCAATGTTATGGAGAGCTTTAGAGGACAAGCTCTTTATGTTTGTATCAATTTAAGCCTCCTCTAAATTTTTGTATAAAATATAATTTAAAAAAATGAAATAATATTTGCATTTTTTGGAGCTGATAAAACTTTTTGAAAGTGAAAATGCTTCAAGCTTAATCAGGAATGATAAACCTGATGAATGCACAGTTGTAACTGTAACATTACAATCTTAGATCTTCAGCATGTTCCTAGTGCTGCAAAATTCACTAACTAAATCCACAAACCTGATGAAATGAGGCTCTGAGGACGTCAGCTTGTCAACTAACTCTGATAGGGACATCTTAAGTTGAAAAAAAAAAATTAAGCTTAAATCAAATTACAAACAATTTCAAGCTTATAGGAAACCAACTTAAAATCAAAATTCTTAATCCTTTAGTTTACTCTGCTGTTTTGGCTACTCTTTGTCTCTACGTCTAAAGTATATCTTTTATTGAATTTTTGCAAAATACATTTTTTTCAATATGAAGCTTAATTCGCTGTCATTAGGTACAACATACTGCCACTAAGTTTTATTTTCTGTCTGATATTAAGCTGATTGGCTAATCATTTTACCCTGAAGTGAGCACTGGTAGTGTTTTTTGGTGGCCCCGTCATCTGTTGTTGTCGTTCTCTGCTTGCCCTGTAACAGTAAAACCATATAAAAAAGAAATAATAACAATTTCACAATATCTTACTTTGATTGGGTTTTTTTTAACAAAGGTCTCACAAAGTAACAGATGATTATGTTTAACTTCTGTAGTAGACATCACCGTACCATTAGAGTGCTTGTTGTAGGAGACGTAAGGAGAGAAATAAGAATGAAGAATAAGTGTGACGTTATCCCCCCCCCACCCCTCTCTCTCTCTGTTTAAAAGAAAGAATCAATGATATGAATATACAGAACACATGGTCAGTGTCTTAAAATATAAGCTGTGTTTGGCGAGGGACAGAAAAACAAAAGTGGTGAGTGGATGACTAAATACCTCTCCTTCAGTCGGCGTCCTACTTGACGTGAAAGACTGTCCCCTGGCCCAAAAGCTGGCCGGTTAGGAAGAGACCATTCTGGAGCGGACCATGAGTGGTCTCCCTTCAAAGACTCTCTATAGTGATAAACATATGTATTCAGAAATTAAAAGTTATATAACATTAGTAAGATTCCATAATGAAATTATTGATTGATTCATCAAGATACTGAAATGTCAGAAGAATCTTATTTAATGGCACAAAGGCAAATGGTGAACAAACCAATGTTTTACACTTAAACCCTTGAAAAAGTGAAAGGAGACCAGGTGTTCCCAAATATGAAGTGTCTTCTGCTTTTTCTGTGAAGCCGGTCAGTCTTGGTAAATCTTGGTCAATCCAAGTAAATACTAAATGTCATATTCTAAAATCATTTAACAACAAACAAGCCAGCAGCATTACAGCTCATATAGAAGCACAATATTAATGCACTAAACATAGAAATACAAGACACAGAGTCATTTCAATTTGGTCGATTGAAACAAATGCTCATAATGAAAGTACCGACTTACGGTGAGTCAAAACGTCCAGATTCTGTCACCTGTACACTAAACATCTTAGCTATCAGCATGTTCTGACTGTTTTCCATCAGACTGGTAAAGTTGGGGCTAAGTGTTTCTCTGTTCTTCTCTATCACACCCTCCACATTATATTTCACCTCGAAACACACAAAATCAAAATCTAAAAGTTTCAAGTTTTGCTAAAAATTTAGGCCTTGCAAAAGAAGGTGAATAAGCTTCGAAATGGAAAGAAAAAATATTTGGATAGAAGAAAAGACAGGAGGACAGACAAAGATAAAAACAGGATGATAGAGAGAAGGGAAAGAAATGACAGGCAGAAGAAAAGACAGGAGGACAGACAAAGATAAAAACAGGATGATAGACAGAAGGGAAAGAAAGGACAGACAGAAGAAAAGACAGGAGGACAGACAAAGATAAAAACAGGATGATAGAGAGAAGGGAAAGAAAGGACAGACAGAAGAAAAGACAGGAGGACAGACAAAGATAAAAACAGGATGATAGACAGAAGGGAAAGAAAGGACAGACAGAAGAAAAGACAGGAAGACAGACAAAGATAAAAACAGGAAGATTGACAGAAGGGAAAGAAAGGATAGACAGAAGAAAAGACAGGAGGACAGACAAAGATAAAAACAGGATGATAGACAGAAGGGAAAGAAAGGACAGACAGAAGAAAAGACAGGAGGACAGACAAAGATAAAAACAGGATGATAGACAGAAGGGAAAGAAAGGACAGACAGAAGAAAAGACAGGAGGACAGACAGAAGACAGCAGAACAAGACCAGACAGAGGAAAATATAGGACAAACAGAAGAAATTATAAGACAGAAAGTGGAAACAACAGAGAAAGAGACAAATGGATAGAAGTTTGGACAGATGTGTTGTCATCATATTTACATAACCATACAATATATATACATGACTTGTATATTTTTGCTTATTTTCAATTTGATTTATACCATAATTGGGTTTCCAAATACAATATTTATCTTACATTAAGCTCAAATGGCAAACACATTCCTGGCTCAAAGTCTGAGAGTGGGTGTATTACATGACACCTGGAGGTCAACACATTACTCCTGACTCAAAGTCAGGGGGTGGGCTTATTACATGACACCTGGAGGTCAACACATTACTTCTGACTCAAAGTCAGGGAGTGGGCTTATTACATAACACCTGGAGGTCAACACATTACTTCTGACTCAAAGTCAGGGGGTGGGCTTATTACATGACACCTGGAGGTCAACACATTACTTCTGACTCAAAGTCAGGGGGTGGGCTTATTACATGACACCTGGAGGTCAACACATTACTTCTGACTCAAAAGTCTGGGGTCTGCTAATTACATGACAATTATATATTTATTATAAAGAGAAGGACATGAAACAAATGGCTTAATTATTACTTTGCAGATGTAGTCTTCATTATTGCTAGATAAAACTTCGTAAACATCCCTCAACAACTTCTCAATCTATCCTGTATGACTGGTACTTACCAGGCCTGCAAAGTGTGACACAGTGAAAACTGGCTCTCTGGCTTTTGACTTTTTATAATGTGAATGTTTTCCCAAACACTGATCAAGCTTATCTACATATGATTGGTCAGTAGATGTTTGCAGACGACATTCATCCTCGAGTATTGCAAATATTCCTTCTGGTCTCTGAAAAATTGACAGATTTTTTCATTTTCTATCAAGAAAGTATGATAGCAAACATCCTAAGTAAATTCCTCTATACAAGGAGGGGATTCCTTTATTGTCCCCTGATAAAAATATACAAAAAAATCTTAATTTGGTTTTAATTGGTCCAGCCTTTCTACAGAAGTAGTTTTTAAAGATTTGACAGTTTAACATCCCTCAATACTAAATAGATTCATATCAGTACAGAACTACATTCATTTTACCCAAAATTTATGTCTTTAAACTCCATATGATTTTCCCTTTTAGATCAATTAAGATATGTTAAGTTCTTAAAATTTTGCATGTGATTTTCAATGCTTCAAAATGCTCTTTCACTAAGAGCTTATGGCAGAAATGAGTATATCATGAATGTTATAAAATTATTCTCTTTCCATTCTTTTTTCAACATACATCTCTTCACAGTTTTCTTCCATCCTAAAAATCATAAAAATTAAAACTCGATAATATGCTAATTTAGTTTATCACTGGTGAACAGCCAGGGTCATTTTGAGGCAAGATCTACCTGTAATAGCTTGTGGCTACCTCACTTCACAACATATAGGAGGTCCATCACATGCTAAGCAGAGTGACTAGAGAAATATGTTTTGCCTACTCGAATAAGTTGTAAGACCCTTGTTTTGTAAACTTACCCTTAACAATAGGTCCAGAACATCCCTGTTGTTTTCAAACTTGACTTTTGGGCTTTTGATGCCTTCCCCCTGGTATTCACGAAGTTCCCATGCAAAAATATATTCATTGAAGAAATTCTGAAGCTGTTCATTGGCAGTATTAATGCACAACTGTTCCAAACTATTGACAGGGAAATTCTCAAAACCTGCCATGTCTAAAATTCCAATTGTCCGTAATGATCTGTTATTTCTGTAAAAAGCAAACAAAGGTTTAATTTGCCTTTTAAATCAACATTTTGAATTTTTACACCTAATTAGGTTTCATTGTTGTTTAACTTATCTTCATTTTTCCTTTGCATGAAAAAGTTAAAAATAACAAGCAGGCTAAATTGTTTTTACTGGTATGTATTTTAGGACAAATTTAACACTTTGCGAAAATGCGATGTTTGATTCAAGGCCAAATGTACTCTTGGCAGATGTTTCCCCCGAATACAGTAAGTAAATATTTCAATGTATTATACTTTGGTATCTTATAATGCCCCAGACCAGCTCAGATCTGAAATTCAGAAAAACTTTTCAATTCAAGCAGAAATATTTTATTCTTAAATGCTTTCTTGTAGTAAAGCTCCCAACAATTTTATATTTTAACATTTTTATATATAATATTTTTTGAAAAGATATCAAACTAGATCTAAATTGTTTTTGAGTATTTTTACATAAAATGATTAGATTTTCTCCCATTGGATTTAACTGATATCCCTCTAAGTATTTTACAAATCTAAAGTTATATCTAAATTTAATGGAGCAACGAGAACAAATGAACCCACGAACTTTTTAGTATTACTTGCTTTGTTGAAAGGTGAATTCATAAAACATAACTACAAACCACTGTTCTGGTAGGGAGCATAACAATTCCAATTATTGTCTTTCTACTGGAATGTTTCAATTATGAAAGAAATACTGGCAGTTTTGTTTACACATATATGTACCAAGGACCTAAAATCTGATCGTCGTCTAAACGGAATGTCCCAGTTTGGTTACAATGACAATAACCTTATATCAGATACAAAACAGGAAATCTTCCCATCATATCGATATACCAAATTACACCGCCATCATACCTTTATACCAAATTACACCCCCATCATACCTATATACCAAATTACACCCCCATCATACCTATATACCAAATTTCACCTCCATCATACCTTTATACCAAATTACACCTCCATCATACCTCTATACCAAATTACACCCCCATCATACCTATATACCAAATTACACTCCCATCATACCTATATACCAAATTACACCTCCATCACACCTATATATCAAATTACACCCCCATCACACCTATATACCAAATTACACCTCCATCATACCTATATACCAAATTACACCTCCATCATACCTATATACCAAATTACACCCCCATCATACCTATATACAAAATTCCACACACATCATACCTATATACCAAATTACACCTCCATCACACCTATATACCAAATTACACCCCCATCATACCTATATATCAAATTACATCCCCATCATACCTATATACCAAATTACACCTCCATCATACCTATATACCAAATTACACCTCCATCATACCTATATACCAAATTACACTCCCATCATACCTATATACAAAATTCCACACACATCATACCTATATACCAAATTACACTCCCATCATACCTATATACAAAATTCCACACACATCATACCTATATACCAAATTACACCTCCATCATACCTATATACCAAATTACACCTCCATCACACCTATATACCAAATTACACCCCCATCATACCTATATACCAAATTTCACCTCCATCATACCTATATACCAAATTTCACCTCCATCATACCTATATACCAAATTACACCCCCATCATACCTTTATACCAAATTACACCTCCATCATACCTCTATACCAAATTACACCTCCATCATACCTCTATACCAAATTACACCTCCATCATACCTTTATACCAAATTACACCTCCATCATACCTATATACCAAATTACACCCCATCATACCTATATACCAAATTACACCTCCATCACACCTATATATCAAATTACACCCCCATCACACCTATATACCAAATTACACCTCCATCATACCTATATACCAAATTACACCTCCATCACACCTATATACCAAATTACACCCCCATCATACCTATATACCAAATTAAACCCCCATCACACCTCTATACCAAATTACACCTCCATCATACCTATATACCAAATTACACCCCATCATACCTATATACCAAATTACACCCCATCATACCTATATACCAAATTACACCCCCTATACACCAAATTACACCCCCATCATACCTATATACCAAATTACCAAATTACCCCCATCATACCTATATACCAAATTACACCTCCATCATACCTATATACCAAATTAAACCCCATCATACCTATATACCAAATTACACCTCCATCACACCTATATACCAAATTACACCTCCATCATACCTATATACCAAATTACACCCCCATCATACCTATATACCAAATTACACCTCCCATACCATCCATCATATACCAAATTACCACCCCCATCATACCTATATACCAAATTACACCCCATCATACCTATATACCAAATTACACCCCATCATACCTATATACCAAATTACACCCCCATCATACCTATATACCAAATTACACCCCCATCATACCTATATACCAAATTACACCCCCATCATACCTATATACCAAATTACACTCCCATCATACCTATATACCAAATTACACCCCCATCATACCTATATACCAAATTACACTCCCATCATACCTATATACCAAATTACACACCCATCATACCTATATACCAAATTACACCTCCATCATACCTATATACCAAATTACACCCCCATCATACCTATATACCAAATTACACCTCCATCATACCTATATACCAAATTACACCCCATCATACCTATATACCAAATTAAACCCCAATCATACCTATATACCAAATTACACTCCCATCATACCTTTATACCAAATTACACCCCCATCACACCCCATCATACCTATATACCAAATTACACACCCCATCATACCTATATACCAAATTACACCCCCATCATACCTATATACCAAATTACACCCCCATCACACCATCATACCTATATACCAAATTACACCCCATCATACCTATATACCAAATTACACCCCCTCATACCTATATACCAAATTACACCATCATACCTATATCAAATTACATTCCACACCTATCATACCTATATACCAAATTACACCCCCATCATACCTATATACCAAATTACACCCCCATCATACCTATATACCAAATTACACATCATACCCACCCCCATCATACCTATATACCAAATTACACCCCCATCATACCTATATACCAAATTACACCCCATCATACCTATATACCAAATACACCACCATACCTATATACCAAATTACACCCCATCATACCTATATACCAAATTACACCCCCATCATACCTATATACCAAATTACACCCCCATCATACCATCATACCATCATACCTATATACCAAATTACACCTCCATCATACCTATATACCAAATTACACCCCCATCATACCTATATACCAAATTACACCCCCATCATACCTATATACCAAATTACACTCCCATCATACCTATATACCAAATTACACCCCCATCATACCTATATACCAAATTACACTCCCATCATACCTATATACCAAATTACACTCCCATCATACCTATATACCAAATTACACCCCCATCATACCTTTATACCAAATTACACCTCCATCATACCTATATATACCATCATACCTATATACCAAATTACACCCCATCATACCTATATACCAAATTACACCAAATTACACCTCCATCATACCTATATACCAAATTACACTATATACCCATCATACCTATATACCAAATTACACCCCATCATACCTATATACCTATATATATACCAAATTACACCCCCATCATACCTATATACCAAATTACACTCCCATCATACCTATATACCAAATTACACCCCATCATACCTATATACCAAATTACACCCCATCATACCTATATACCAAATTACACCCCCATCATACTTTTATACCAAATTACCTTCCCATCATACCTATATACCAAATTACACTCCCATCATACCTATATACCAAATTACACCCCCATCATACCTATATACCAAATTACACCCCATCATACCTATATACCAAATTACACCCCCAACATACCTATATACCAAATTACACTCCCATCATACCTATATACCAAATTACACCCCATCATACCTATATACCAAATTACACCCCATCATACCTATATACCAAATTAAACCCCATCATACCTATATACCAAATTACACCTCCATCACACCTATATACCAAATTACACCTCCATCATACCTATATACCAAATTACACCCCATCATACCTATATACCAAATTAAACCCCAATCATACCTATATACCAAATTACACTCCCATCCTACCTATATACCAAATTACACCCCCATCATACCTATATACCAAATTACACCCCCATCATACCTATATACCAAATTACATACCTATGTACCAAATTACACCTCCATCATACCTATATACCAAATTACACCTCCATCATTACCTATATACCAAATTACACATCCATCAAAACTATATACAAAATTACACCCCAATCATACCTATATACCAAATTACACCTCCATCATACCTATATACCAAATTACACCCCATCATAATATATACCAAATTACACCCCCATCATACCTATATACCAAATTACACCTCACACCATCATACCTATATACCAAATTACACCCCCATCATACCTATACCAAATTACACCCCATCATACCTATATACCAAATTACACCTCCATCATACCTATATACCAAATTACACCCCCATCATACCTATATACCAAATTACACCTCCATCATACCTATATACCAAATTACACCTCCATCATACCTATATACCAAATTACACCTCCATCATACCTATATACCAAATTACACTCCCATCATACCTATATACCAAATTACACCCCCATCATACCTATATACAAAATTCCACACACATCATACCTATATATACCAAATTACACTCCCATCATACCATCATACCTATATATACCAAATTACACTCCCATCATACCTATATACCAAATTACACTCCCATCATACCTATATACCAAATTACACCCCATCATACCTATATACCAAATTACACCTCCATCATACCTATATACCAAATTACACCCCCATCATACCTATATACCAAATTACACCCACATCACACCTCTATACCAAATTACACTCCCATCATACCTATATATCAAATTACACCCCATCATACCTATATACCAAATTACACTCCCATCATACCTATATACCAAATTACACCTCCATCATACCTATATACCAAATTACACCCCATCATACCTTTATACCAAATTACACCCCATCATACCTATATACCAAATTACACCTCCATCATACCTATATACCAAATTACACCTCCATCATACCTATATACCAAATTACACCTCCATCATACCTATATACCAAATTACACCTCCATCATACCTATATACCAAATTACACTCCCATCATACCTATATACCAAATTACACCCCCATCATACCTATATACCAAATTACACCTCCATCATACCTATATACCAAAATACACCCCCATCATACCTATATACCAAATTACACTCCCATCATACCTATATACCAAATTACACCCCCATCATACCTATATACCAAATTACACCTCCATCATACCTATATACCAAATTACACCTCCATCATACCTATATACCAAATTACACCTCAATCATACCTATATACCAAATTACACCTCCATCATACCTATATACCAAATTACACCTCCATCATACCTATATACCAAATTACACCCCCATCATACCTATATACAAAATTCCACACACATCATACCTATATATACCAAATTACACTCCCATCATACCTATATACCAAATTACACTCCCATCATACCTATATACCAAATTACACCTCAGTCATACCTATATACCAAATTACACTCCCATCATACCTATATACCAAATTACACTCCCATCATACCTATATACCAAATTACACCCCATCATACCTATATACCAAATTACACCTCCATCATACCTATATACCAAATTACACCCCCATCATACCTATATACCAAATTACACCCACATCACACCTCTATACCAAATTACACTCCCATCATACCTATATATCAAATTACACCCCATCATACCTATATACCAAATTACACTCCCATCATACCTATATACCAAATTACACCTCCATCATACCTCTATACCAAATTACACCCCATCATACCTTTATACCAAATTACACCCCATCATACCTATATACCAAATTACACTTCCATCATACCTATATACCAAATTACACCCCCATCATACCTATATACCAAATTACACCCCCATCATACCTATATACCAAATTACACCCCCATCATACCTATATACCAAATTACACCCCCATCATACCTATATACCAAATTACACCTCCATCATACCTATATACCAAATTACACTCCCATCATACCTATATACCAAATTACACCCACATCATACCTATATACCAAATTACACCCCCATCACACCTATATACCAAATTACACCCACATCATGAATTATAATAAATAAATCTCTTTGCTTACCTGCGATCCACATTTGGGTCAAGCTCAATATTGATCTGGGCAACAATCCAGCTGAAAAGACGACTGTACAAGACCTTCGCTAATGCATCGCGTCCATCAGAAGCCTGACTCACCGTCTTCAACGTCACAATTCTTTCCCCTGTAACCAGGCAACATTAAGGTTGATCTGAGCAATCACAACTACTCAGAAGAATTAGGATTGATAAAATGTGATGGTACCAGCTGTCACTGTCTATGGTTTCTTTCTTTGCATGTTTTAATGTAGAAATGTCTGCCATGTTGGACACTCATGTTGGTAAATTTACTTCCTTATATCACAATGACAGAGTCCCAATCATGTGTTCCAGCTTACTGTCTGCTGTCATAATTCTGTACATGATTACTTTTTTTTCTCATGTTAATTTCCCACATTAATTAGTGAATTTGTTTTAGTAAATTCTACCATATACATGTGCATAAACAAAACATAAACTTACCATGTACAAATGTTATTTAAGTGTTAACTTACCACATACAAATGTTATTTAACTGTTAACTTACCATGTACAAATGTTATTTAACTGTTAACTTACCACATACAAATGTTATTTAACTGTTAGCTTACCATGTACAAATGTCATCTAATTGTTAACTTACCATGTACAAATGTTATTTAACTGTTAACTTACCATGTACAAATGTTATTTAACTGTTAACTTACCATGTACAAATGCTATTCAAGTGTTAACTTACCATGTACAAATGCTATTTAAGTGTTAACTTACCACATACAAATGTTATTTAACTGTTAGCTTACCATGTACAAATGCTATTTAAGTGTTAACTTACCACATACAAATGTTATTTAACTGTTAACTTACCATGTACAAATGCTATTTAAGTGTTAACTTACCACATACAAATGTTATTTAACTGTTAACTTACCATGTACAAATGCTATTTAAGTGTTAACTTACCACATACAAATGTTATTTAACTGTTAACTTACCATGTACAAATGCTATTTAAGTGTTAACTTACCATGTATAAATGTTATTTAACTGTTAACTTACCACATACAAATGTTATTTAAGTGTTAACTTACCATGTACAAATGTTATCTAACTGTTAACTTACCATGTACAAATGCTATTTAAGTGTTAACTTACCACGTACAAATGCTCTGTTTGAGAGTAAAACTGTAGCTAAATCCTCTGGCTGTAGAGACAGAAGCGTTGAAGCTGTAAATAAAAATAAACCAAGGCATTGCTGCAACATTCTTAAAATAAAATTTAACACATAATCACAAATCCAATCGATACATTCATTTCAGCAATTTATATGGCCAAACGCCCACATCTGGTTATAAGCCCAATGTTCATAGTGATGTTGAGTAGATTTAGAATCAGATGTTATTTTGTCCTGTAATAAGCCCATCCCTGATTTTATTCAGAATTCGTATGTTGGCCCCCTTGAGTCTTGTAATAAGCCCATCCCTGATTTTTATTCAGAATTCGTATGTTGGCCCCCTTGAGTCCTGTAATAAGCCCACCCCTGCCTTGATTCAGAATTTGTATGTTGGCCCCCTTGAGTCCTGTAATAAGCCCACCCCTGACTTTGATTCAGAATTGGTATGTTGGCCTCTAGGCCTATTGCAAGTTATATCTGGTTGGAAATCTGGCATTTAAGCTACAGGTCATCTCCCTAGTCACGAATTATTACACCATAGAAACAATAAACAACTATATCATTTTTATTTATTTGTCGTGTTTATTGCTCCTGAACATTCCAGACTATTTCAAGGCAAGTTAGCCTCTTAATACCTGACTGAACATCATGCTGGAGGTCCATTCTAAGCTATATAGAGTGATTTCATTCAAGTTTATTGCCCAGGGGTACAACAATAGGACTGACTCATGATCTCATCTTTGTCAGAGCCACAAACTAGACTGGTTAAGGATCATCAAACTACATGCACACTTGAGACTTTCATGTCCAATGCTCAACCATCTGAGCTATTATGACCTTCACATCTTTACTTAATTGCTGATGTAGTTCACTTAATGTATGGAAATTACTCAATACACATCAATTATCCATATCAAATTAACTGAACATTTTTCATATTTCAATCGTTTAGAAATTTACAGAAAAATAGATGTAAAATATCTACAATACAAACTTTGACATACAATGTAAATTTTAAATTTGATATTAAAATCAACTAACATTAGACTTTATATTTTGTGTAACAAATTAATCCTCACAAAAATTGATAATCTTTGTCTCGAACATTTTTAATAAAATTATTCTAACTGACTGCACCATTATGTTTCATCATTCAAATTTTATTCAATTTGTTTAGAATAGTAATCTAGATGTTTATACCAAAGTCAATCTCATCTTCGTTTACAATGATAACTTGGTCAATTTCAGGATCAGTCACAAAGTCGATGTTACACAGATGAAGAATTCCTGCCACAAGGCCGAGTATCAGGTCAACTTCCTGGTAAAAAACTTACACAAATCAATCCAAGGTGACCCGAAGTTAATCACATTAACCTGATTCAAATCTGTCAACTTTTAAATTGAAAACAAAATATCTTAAATTAAGAATTATAAATAATTAGAAACAGAGTCTATAAACATGTACAAGTGTACGTACCAAATCTCAGGATACAAGCTTTCAATTATTTTTGATTCCATATGATTTTATAAAAACAGTCAAGACATTTAAATGGCAGTAATATTTTTGAGATTTTTTCACATAAAAAAGGTTGTGTTTAGTTGTCAGCAAAACTTATGTACAGCTCAAAAATGATTTTTTTTCTACCTACCTGTGATGAAAATCCAACAATGTTGAATATATTTCTTAATTCTCCCATCCTCATCTCATAATCTTCATAATCCCCACCACTACGAAACACCTTTGTACCATAGTCTTCCTCTATAATCCTACAAGTTAAGGAATGTGTCAGGTTAATGTGCAGAGTAAACTTTTAGTCTCCTTATTAAAAAGATATCATTTTACTTCCAACAATAAATGATAGAGACGAGAACATTACAAAAACATTGTACAAAGACACAGATTTGGACAGCCATTTTCGGCCATTTTGAGACTGAGTTTTCTTGTGGTAGTTTCTGGCTACCTAAATGTACACTAAATTTCTACACCCCAAGAACCATCCACCATACTCCAGGTGTCAAACTCACTATCACTTTCTACACCCCTAGAACCATCCTCCATACTCCAGGTGTCACACTCACTATCACTTTCTACACCCCTAGAACCATACTCCGGGGTCACACTCACTATCACTCTCTACACCCCTAGAACCATACTCCAGGGGTCACACTCACTATCACTCTCTACACCCCTAGAACCATCTTCCATACTCCAGGGGTCACAACCACTATCACTCTCTACACCCCTAGAACCATCTTCCATACTCCAAGGGTCACACTCACTATCACTCTCTACACCCCTAGAACCATCCTCCACACGCCAGGGGTCACACTCACTAACACACTCTACACCCCTTGAACCATACTCCAGGGGTCACACTCACTATCACTCTCTACACCCCTAGAACCATACTCCAGGGGTCACACTCACTATCACTCTCTACACCCCTAGAACCATCCTCCATACTCCAGGGGTCACAACCACTATCACTCTCTACACCCCTTGAACCATCCTCCATACTCCAGGGGTCACAACCACTATCACTCTCTACACCCCTAGAACCATCCTCCATACTCCAAGGGTCACAACCACTATCACTCTCTACACCCCTAGAACCATCTTCCATACTCCAAGGGTCACACTCACTATCACTCTCTACACCCCTAGAACCATACTCCAGGGGTCACACTCACTATCACTCTCTACACCCCTTGAACCATCCTCCATACTCCAGGGGTCACAACCACTATCACTCTCTACACCCCTTGAACCATCCTCCATACTCCAGGGGTCACAACCACTATCACTCTCTACACCCCTAGAACCATCCTCCATACTCCAAGGGTCACACTCACTATCACTCTCTACACCCCTAGAACCATACTCCAGGGGTCACACTCACTATCACTCTCTACACCCCTAGAACCATCCTCCATACTCCAGGGGTCACAACCACTATCACTCTCTACACCCCTAGAACCATACTCCAGGGGTCACACTCACTATCACTCTCTACACCCCTAGAACCATCCTCCACATGCCAGGGGTCACACTCACTATCACTCTCTACACCCCTAGAACCATCCTCCATACTCCAGGGGTCACACTCACTATCACTCTCTACACCCCTAGAACCATCCTCCATACTCCAGGGGTCACACTTGCTATCACTCTCTACACCACTGGAACCATCCTCCATACACCAGGGGTCACACTCACTATCACTCTCTACACCCCTAGAACCATCCACCATACTCCAGGGGTCACAACCACTATCACTCTCTGCACCCCTAGAACCATACTCCAGGGGTCACACTCACTATCACTCCCTACACCACTGGAACCATCCTCCATACTCCAGGGGTCACACTCACTATCCCTCTCTACACCCCTAGAACCAACCACCATACGCCAGGGGTCACACTCACTATCACTCTCTACACCCCTAGAACCATCCACCATACATTGCAATCGTGGTGAAGTGATTAAGGACACAACCATGGCAGTATAGACAAGCCTGATTCTCAGCTTTATGAGAAACAAACTTCACACCTTGGACCTTGTCCATTTGAGATTAACAAGATAAACACTGACTGAGTGATTGTGGACCCACATCCTGTATGAAGACCCCCTTTTGGTATAGGTATTAAAGGTAACAGGAGCATGAATAAAATACTTCTAAGGATTATGTAACTGAATGCATTGTTTTCATGGTATTGTACCTGTACGTTTCGGGCCTCCTAAGGTAGTACCGTTTCTTTTCGTTGACTGACAGCCCGGCAAATAGACAATAGAATATGTGGAATGTACGCTCTCCGGACATTTTGTTAACAACACGCGACTTCTCCAACATGTGTTCAGTAATTTTTGCTAAAATGAAAAAAGAAGAATAAATAAAAGGACAAGAGTACCACAAAGCGGAACAAAATACGCCAGTGAATATCCAAAACAGCAAAGGGACATAACTCTTATTCAAATCGTCTAATCAAAACCCCATTCAGGAAAACACAATTTCATATCATGGTGATTAAGCCTACCAAGTTTCATAAAGATCAACTGAAAAATGTTGGAGGAGATATCCGGACAAATAAAAGTTTACGCTGGACGCCGGACGCACGGACATACAGCGCCATACTAGAAAGACAGACGTATAAAAATGTTTAAAAAATGAATCAATAAAATAAAAACTTCTCTAGGTTAATTTCACTCCTCACAAACCAATATGGTAGCATTTTAGTTAAAGGTAATTGATTTATTTCATGACAGAAATTTTAGCAATTAATTCTATTCAGTGAACACTTCGGAGTCACAGTATTTAGTATAAGAACCAGTCATATCTTTTCTGACAAGAACAAAATTGAATTTATTGCAATACATGTAAATAATTGTATTTGCAAACATTCTTGATGTAATTTTAAAATGGAATCAGATTATTTCCCATTTTCAATAACAGCCATGAAACAACAGAAGAACACATTTTAAACGGCAGGTATATGTTATTACCATCTCCTGATAAATCTCTTAGCAGACATAAAATCTTACTAACATTAATCTGAACAGGATACTATTAATGCGTCTCAGGAGATTTCTACATTATGCTAATGTTGACTATTTGACAAAAAAATAAACTTTTATCAGTTTAGCTTAATAACTATATGATTAAATCAGGTTTTGACATAATTTTGTCGTCTGATTTAATAAAAGCATTACATGTAACAAAAATACCAACACAATATGTATAGTGCAAGTAAGACTATTGTAGGCAGATTTTCCATAATAGACCAATTAACAGATTTCAGAAGTCAGAACTGACTCACCCTGTAATAATTGGAAATGCCTGTTTCAGAAATTTTATGTTTAAAACATCTCAAGTCATAGAATTGTGTGATTGTACAAATGTAGAGCTTGTACATGTGTAGAGATTAAACAAGTGTTGATATTTAACAAGTATAGAGATTGTACAGTATAGAGATTGTACAAGTATAGAGATTGTACAGTATAGAGATTGTACAAGTATAGAGATTGTACCAGTATAGAGATTGTACAAGTATAGAGATTGTACAAGTATAGAGATTGTACAAATGTAGAGATTGTACAAGAATAGAGATTGTACAGTATAGCGATTGTACAAGTAAAAAGATTGTACAGTATAGAGATTGTATAAGTATAGAGATTGTACTAGTGTAGAGATTGTACAAGTGTAGAGATTGTACAAGTGTAAAGATTGTACAAGTGTAGAGATTGTACAGTATAGAGATTGTAGAGATTGTAATAAGATTGTAGTATAGAAATTGTACAAGTGTAGAAAGTGTAAATATTGCACAAGTGTAAAGATTGTACTAGTGTAGAGATTGTACAAGTGTAGAGATTGTACAAGTGTAAAGATTGTACAAGTGTAGAGATTGTACAAGTGTAGATATTGTACAAGTATAGAGATTGTACAGTATATAGATTGTACAGTATAGAGATTGTACAAGTGTAGAGATTGTACAAGTGTAGATATTGTACAAGTGTAGAGATTGTACTAGTGTAGAGATTGTACAAGTGTAGAGATTGTACAGTATAGAGATTGTACAGTATAGAGATTGTACAAGTGTAGAGATTGTACAAGTGTAGAGATTGTACAAGTGTAGAGATTGTACAGTATAGAGATTGTACAGTATAGAGATTGTACAAGTGTAGAGATTGTACAGTATAGAGATTGTACAGTATAGAGATTGTACAGTATAGAGATTGTACAAGTGTAGAGATTGTACAGTGTAGAGATTGTACAAGTGTAGAGATTGTACAAGTGTAGAGATTGTATATGTATATTGAACATGCAAGCCTATAAAATTTCTTTGAAAGTTCATGATAAGCTTACTCACCTCCAGCTATATCACCTTCAGGGGAGAGAATTAGTTCGATCAGCTTCCCAAATCGACTAGAATTTCTGTTCATCACTGTTTCTGCATTTCCAAAGGCTTCTAGAAGTGGGTTTACCTACAAAAATCAGTCCTGTATTCATCAGCCAAAAACCTCAGACCTGGTCAAAAACACATGTCTGTTGCAGTTTCTTTTCCCAAAACTTTTACCAGTATGATTTTATTGAATTTACAGAAAAAGAGCCAACAGAATCTAGTGAATTGTAAAGCAGATTAATGTTAACAAATCCAATGTCAGCTAATTTCATACCTATTACACTTTAGAAAAATCCCTACCAATGATGTCCAGCAACAGGTTTTGAATTGAGCACCAAATACTATCTTGATACGAAATGGAAACACTGACATTATCTCTATTATAAGTGATTCTTTTCACTGCTGTGGTGTAAGATTCTTTATTGAGAGAAAATTGTTTGCTTCCTTGAGGATGTATATGAAATGTTACCTAAAACAAGAAACTGTACCTCTACAATTTTCTGATGGAGATTTGAGAATTCCGAATCATTTGTGAGTCTCACAATCTGAGCTACCAGCATCTTGCTGCTCTCCGTCTTTCCTTTAAAGATAAATAAACAAATATCTTAAATAAAATCATGTGTAACATAACAGTTAGATTTGGCAATTTTCTGAAAATGTCCAACTCAAATTACCAGGCTGACATTGGTACTGCACCTCAAAAATGTTCACATTCATTTAACAATCAAATACTTCATAATGGTTTTAATTCTTAGCAATTAAAATTACTATAGCAATAGAATAACTTTAATTAAAACTGTTCCTTAATTAAATACTTTTTTTTCATGATCTGTACAAAATATTTCAATCAAGTCCAATTACCTGCCCCTGATTCTCCGCTCACTAGGAGGCATTGATTTGTTCCGGTCCGCTGAACACTCTGATGTGTTTTTGACGCCATGGCATAGATATGAGGAGGCAGATCTTTAAATTCTTTAATGTGCTCATATTTCTTCCCAGGCTGTTAAAAATAAAATTTGAAGAAATAATTGAAATAAAAAAAGGGAAAAACAAGAAATCATTTTAAATAGTAGTACAGCTTTCTAACTGTTAACTTTCTGTAAAGGGCACCTAACATTGTACAAAAGACACAAGCACCAATTACGTGAGAGAAACAGTGGAGCCCAATAATGAATTAAATCACATCATTTGTTGCCTCCTTCTTCTGGCTCATCAATGATGCTAAAGGACTTAAAGTCTAGGAGATAATCAAGGTGACCAACAAAAATGTTAAAATTTAGATGAAAATACAGCATATGACAGAATGTGTATGGTTTGGATATAAATAGACTTAAGTTAATCAAAGTCTCTTATTTTTTTCATAACAGTTATCATTAAAAATTTATGAACTGAGAATGAACAACACACATAACAACATTTATCTGTGACAATTTCAATAAGAATTAAAAAGATTTCATTCTTTTAGGTAGAATCTTCTACAACTAATGTATCTTTATGTATATTTGAGCAATATCTGTATTTAGCTACTGTGAAATATCAGCTGGACCAATCTAAAATAATTCTTAGTTGGTCAGTTTTTAAATTTTCATGAAAAATTCCTACTTACAACATCTCCATATATGTTCAACTGTTTGTAAGGATTGACTGACACCAGAATATCCCCAATGTAGGTCTGTAACAACAAAACACAAAAATATATATATGAACAAGGAGGTTCAATAACAACACGACCTGACGTACTCTGTTAAAGGTGCTTTATTAATATGCAGTCCGGTTTCACCCTGACGAAGCCCTCCCCCTGGCGAAACTGGTCGGCATATTGCATATCTTAGCCATATGCAATCATCCTGCATACTTTTAGGTATCTACACCTAGATGACAAACCTGATACATCACCACGAAGAAGCAAGGTGTTGACTCCTCCATTTAAAAATCTATTTAAAATTTGATAATAAAAATACTTCTGGTTCTATACACATATATATCAAAATACTGGTAACCCTTATCAATAATTTTGAAACCTTCTTATCTTAATACACATAGAAGCTTTACTTCAATTGAGGTACCAGTAATACACATAGAAACTTTACTTGAATTGAGGTACCAGTAATACACATAGAAACTTTACTTGAATTGAGGTACCAGTAATACACATAGAAACTTTAATTGAGGTACCAGTAATACACATAGAAACTTTACTTTGAGGTACCAGTAATACACATAGAAACTTTAATTGAGGTACCAGTAATACACATAGAAACTTTACTTTGAGGTACCAGTAATACACATAGAAACTTTACTTTGAGGTACCAGTAATACACATAGAAACTTTACCTTAATTGAGGTACCAGTAATACACATAGAAACTTTAATTGAGGTACCAGTAATACACATAGAAACTTTACCTTAATTGAGGTACCAGTAATACACATAGAAACTTTACTTTAATTGAGGTACCAGTAATACACATAGAAACTTTACTTTAATTGAGGTACCAGTAATACACATAGAAACTTTACTTTAATTGAGGTACCAGTAATACACATAGAAACTTTACTTTAATTGAGGTACCAGTAATACACATAGAAACTTTACTTTAATTGAGGTACCAGTAATACACATAGAAACTTTACTTTGAGGTACCAGTAATACACATAGAAACTTTACCTTAATTGAGGTACCAGTAATACACATAGAAACTTTACTTTAATTGAGGTACCAGTAATACACATAGAAACTTTACTTTAATTGAGGTACCAGTAATACACATAGAAACTTTACTTTGAGGTACCAGTAATACACATAGAAACTTTACTTTACTTTGAGGTACCAGTAATACACATAGAAACTTTACTTTAATTGAGGTACCAGTAATACACATAGAAACTTTACTTTAATTGAGGTACCAGTAATACACATAGAAACTTTACTTTAATTGAGGTACCAGTAATACACATAGAAACTTTACTTTAATTGAGGTACCAGTAATACACATAGAAACTTTACCTTAATTGAGGTACCAGTAATATTTAGATCTTGTACAAGTTAATAAAGATTCAAAAACACAAATGTCTGTTGGGTAATGTTATGTTTTGAACAATTCAACAATTAATTAGAAAAAATATCAGAATGACAATTTTATCAAATTTCTTTTCAAGGACATGCGTTTCTTTAAGGGATAACAACAGTGAAAGTCACTGAGTTATTTCTGTTAGAGAAAATAGGATTTGAAGTACCATTGTAACATCTTATTTATAGTAACAAGTATTCAGGTGCACCATCTGTATACATACATATATCATGTCACACTCGTATCTGTCCTTAAGTTCTTTGAGGATTGTCTGCTCGTCAAGGTCACTCAAGTGAGCAAGATCATCAGTGTAGCCCTTCGGAGGTCCCATGGTTACCTGGCAACCACTGTCTGGTGAGTGGTAACTGGTAAATTTAACTTCTTAAGTCATTATTAATGCTGAAAAAAAAATCAATAATATTGAATGTACTTAGAGTTGTATGGTAAAGTTCTTATCTACGAACATAAGGCAACAGGTTGTCTTTATTTATACAGTCAGAAGAAGGCAAGCATCCGTTATACCTGTATGTAGAAATATTATGTTAAAATAATGGACTTCCTCAAGCAAAAAAATTTTTAAAAAATTCATATTTAATGCATATAGTCTTAAATTTACTAATAACCTACAATATTTATCTAAATTCTTAATGCATAACAGTTAAGTGAAACTTTCTGGCTATTTGCATTTGTATAATGAAAAAAAAATGAAATAATTTACTTTGCTTGTCCTTATCAGAGTATTATTAATGGACGATTGTGAATAAACAGATTTTCTTTGTCTAATTCAGAAATAAAGAATCAGGGCCAGTATTCATGAAACCGTTCTCATGCTCAAGCATAGATTTTGTACTCAAGATAACTTTTTCATAATTCACCCAAATCATATCCAATGATATAAATGTCAAATATTAATACTGAATATAGCATTTGGCTTGAAGTCCTTCCAAAATATTTTCCAATCTTTGACAAAATCAGCCTTTTTTATTAATTTTTAACTAATGAAAGATATAAAACTTGAGCACAAAATTTCTGCTTGAGCATGAGAAGTGTTTTGTGAATATGGTTCCAGGTATCAACACAGTCCCCACCATAAACAAATATCCAGTATCTAACGTCCATATGCTGTATGTCTGTACTTAGAAATAGTCATTTTTATGAAAATTCCAATATATACTAGCACTGTCAATAAGTTGTAAAAATAGTAGTGGTTAGTTGTGATATGCAAAATGCTGGGAAAATGAAAAGTAAATGTGTAATTTAGCTATATATATGTGTGTGTGTGATATAACAGGCCACAATAGTTAGATATAGTCATATCTGTGTGGTTCCAGCTCTAACTTATGATGGCGCAAGGACAGTGGTATAATAGATATACCATAGATATAGTCCTAGGTGGACAAGAAAACTATATATATATATATAGTTCCTTTTTTTGGGCAAGTCCGCCATTTATACAGTCCTGTGTAGGGGAGACAGTTATTGAATGCAGTTCTGTATGGTCAGTTCTACAGTTTTCTGCAGTTTCGTGTTGGTAGCTGTATGGTTCATAATCTGAAGATGGCAACCACGTAACCCCAGATGTCCTGTGTAGACAGATGTCCTGTGTAGACATATGTCCTGTGTAGACAGATGCTCTGTGTAGACAGATGCTCTGTGTACCTGTGTAGACAGATGGTCTGTGTAGACAGATACTCTGTGTAGACAGATGCTCTGTGTACCTGTGTAGACAGATGCTCTGTGTAGACAGATGTCCTGTGTAGACAGATGCTCTGTGTAGACAGATGTCCTGTGTAGACAGATGTCCTGTGTAGACAGATGCTCTGTGTACCTGTGTAGACAGATGTCCTGTGTAGACAGATGCTCTGTGTAGACCGATGTCCTGTGTAGACAGATGCTCTGTGTAGACAGATGTCCTGTGTAGACAGATGCTCTGTGTACCTGTGTAGACAGATGCTCTGTGTAGACAGATACTCTGTGTAGACAGATGCTCTGTGTACCTGTGTAGACAGATGCTGTGTGTAGACAGATGTCCTTTGTAGACAGATGCTCTGTGTAGACCGATGTCCTGTGTAGACAGATGCTCTGTGTAGACAGATGTCCTGTGTAGACAGATGCTCTGTGTACCTGTGTAGACAGATGCTCTGTGTAGATAGATACTCTGTGTAGACAGATGCTCTGTGTACCTGTGTAGACAGACGCTGTGTGTAGACAGATGTCCTTTGTAGACAGATGCTCTGTGTAGACAGATGTCCTGTATAGAAAGATGGCCTGTGTAGACAGATGCTCTGTGTAGACAGATGCTCTGTGTAGAAAGATGTCCTGTGTAGACAGATGCTCTGTGTAGACAGATGCCCTGTGTAGACAGATGCCCTGTGTAGACAGATGCTCTGTGTAGACAGATGTTCTGTGTACCTGTGTAGACAGATGCTCTGTGTACCTGTGTAGACAGATGCTCTGTGTAGACAGATGTCCTGTGTAGACAGATGCTCTGTGTAGACAGATGTCCTGTGTAGACAGATGTCCTGTGTAGACAGATGCTCTGTGTAGACAGATGTCCTGTGTAGACAGATGTCCTGTGTAGACAGATGCTCTGTGTACCTGTGTAGACAGATGCTCTGTGTACCTGTGTAGACAGATGCTCTGTGTACCTGTGTAGACAGATGCTCTGTGTACCTGTGTAGACAGATGCTCTGTGTAGACAGATGTCCTGTGTAGACAGATGTCCTGTGTAGACAGATGTCCTGTGTAGACAGATGCTCTGTGTAGACAGATGTCCTGTGTAGACAGATGCTCTCTGTAGACAGATGTCCTGTGTAGACAGATGCTCTGTGTAGACAGATGTCCTGTGTAGACAGATGCTCTGTGTACCTGTGTAGACAGATGCTCTGTGTAGACAGATACTCTGTGTAGACAGATGCTCTGTGTACCTGTGTAGACAGATGCTGTGTGTAGACAGATGTCCTTTGTAGACAGATGCTCTGTGTAGACAGATGCTCTGTGTAGACAGATGTCCTGTGTAGACAGATGCTCTGTGTACCTGTGTAGACAGATGCTCTGTGTAGACAGATACTCTGTGTAGACAGATGCTCTGTGTACCTGTGTAGACAGATGCTGTGTGTAGACAGATGTCCTTTGTAGACAGATGCTCTGTGTAGACCGATGTCCTGTGTAGACAGATGCTCTGTGTAGACAGATGTCCTGTGTAGACAGATGCTCTGTGTACCTGTGTAGACAGATGCTCTGTGTAGACAGATACTCTGTGTAGACAGATGCTCTGTGTACCTGTGTAGACAGACGCTGTGTGTAGACAGATGTCCTTTGTAGACAGATGCTCTGTGTAGACAGATGTCCTGTATAGAAAGATGGCCTGTGTAGACAGATGCTCTGTGTAGACAGATGCTCTGTGTAGACAGATGACCTGCGTAGACAGATGCTCTGTGTACCTGTGTAGACAGATGCTCTGTGTACCTGTGTAGACAGATGCTCTGTGTACCTGTGTAGACAGATGCTCTGTGTAGACAGATGTCCTGTGTAGACAGATGTCCTGTGTAGACAGATGCTCTGTGTACCTGTGTAGACAGATGTCCTGTGTAGACAGATGCTCTGTGTAGACCGATGTCCTGTGTAGACAGATGCTCTGTGTAGACAGATGTCCTGTGTAGACAGATGCTCTGTGTACCTGTGTAGACAGATGCTCTGTGTAGACAGATACTCTGTGTAGACAGATGCTCTGTGTACCTGTGTAGACAGATGCTGTGTGTAGACAGATGTCCTTTGTAGACAGATGCTCTGTGTAGACAGATGCTCTGTGTAGACAGATGTCCTGTGTAGAAAGATGGCCTGTGTAGACAGATGCTCTGTGTAGACAGATGCTCTGTGTAGACAGATGACCTGCGTAGACAGATGCTCTGTGTACCTGTGTAGACAGATGCTGTGTGTAGACAGATGCCCTGTGTAGACAGATGCTCTGTGTAGACAGATGTCCTGTGTACCTGTGTAGACAGATGCTCTGTGTAGACAGATGCTCTGTGTAGACAGATGTCCTGTGTAGACAGATGCTCTGTGTAGACAGATGTCCTGTGTAGACAGATGTCCTGTGTAGACAGATGCTCTGTGTAGACAGATGTCCTGTGTAGACACATTACGTATGTGTATACTGGTGTAAGTATTTGTTCAGTGTAAAATTGAACCCCTATACAGGAACTAGACATTGTAGATATACACATACATATACAACATAACTACATAAATATGTTGAATCAGTGTCAGAAATATCAAATCTATTTCATGAACCAGATTTAACCTCAAAATGATCGACTACCAGTTACACAGATTACACATACCAAATATCTCCTGTTTAAAAAACCTAGATTTCGGACACATAAACTTGGACACAAGCAGGGTGTTCAGCTACATTAGCTTAAGTATTGTAAATTAGGTCGAAGAAATACAATGTAATGTTTGTATATATCTAATGGCAACATTGGTGGGCTTATTACCAGGCATGGGGTTATTGCCAGATGAATATATGGTGTAATATATTCATGCTTCAGTGATTTTGATGGGAGATCAAATGTACATGTGCTTGGTTTCTATATTAATCCACATTAACATGCTTACCTTATAAGGTTCTTTCATGATCCGTGTCCGTTAGGATCTTAAATAAGTTTTCATTTCATATTATAAAATATCATGAAAAAATTCCTAGCTATGAAGACACCTGCTATAGCTATACAGACAGATTTGTGTAAAGCCCAAGGAGAGAAACAGCACATCACAAGACAGTTCATTTTATCAACTTCCTTAGAAATCTTAGACTGCTCTAGGAATTGATCCAAACTGTGGAACAAGAACCCTGGGATATTATATAATAATGCAAAGTCAAATGATCTCCCAGTCAAACGTTCAGAACCTTCACCGGTAAAGTCAACAATCAATTTACAGGTAACAAAGATAACAAGTAGTGTTTGTTTACTGGAGTTTGATTTCTAAACCAAGAACATCAAAAGTAAAAAGATTTATATCGTCATCAGTCATTCTCTTCAGAAAATCAAGTCAAAAATATCAATCACAACAGCATCAGAGCTTCGGTTCTGATGAACCTACTACTCAACCTACTAACACAAACAGCGTTGACTATACTACCTAACTCAACCTACTAACACAAACAGCATTGACCATACTACCTAACCCAACCTACTAACATGAACAGTGTTGACTATACTACCTAAATCCTTCTTACCCAACCTACTAACACAAACAGTGTTGACTATACTACCTAAATCCTTCTCACCCAACCTACTAACACAAACAGCATTGACTATACTACCTAACTCAACCTACTAACACAAACAGCGTTGACTATACTACCTAACTCAACCTACTAACACAAACAGTGT